CTGAGGTCTAGTTGCAGAGGTCTGAGGTCTAGTTGCAGAAGTCAGAGACAGTAGTTGCAGAGGTCAGAGACAGTAGTTGCAGAGGTCTGGGGACTAGTTGCAGAGGTCTGGGGACTAGTTGCAGAGGTCAGAGACAGTAGTTGCAGAGGTTTGGGGACTAGTTGCAGAGGTCTGGGGACTAGTTGCAGAGGTCTGGGGACTAGTTGCAGAGGTCTGAGGTCTAGTTGCAGAGGTCTGGGGACTAGTTGCAGAGGTCTGGGGACTAGTTGCAGAGGTCAGAGACAGTAGTTGCAGAGGTCAGAGACAGTAGTTGCAGAGGTCAGAGACAGTAGTTGCAGAGGTCTGGGGATTAGTTGCAGAGGTCAGAGACACTAGCTGCAGAGATCAGAGAGACTACTTGCAGAGGTCAGAGACACTAGTTGCATAGGTCTCGGGACTAGTTGCAGAGGTCAGAGACACTAGTTGCATAGGTCTCGGGACTAGTTGCAGAGGTCAGAGACAGTAGTTGCATAGGTCTCGGGACTAGTTGCAGAGGTCAAAGAGACTCGTTGCAGAGGTCTGGGGACTAGTTGCAGAGGTCAGAGAGACAAGTTGCAGAGGTCAGAGAGACTCGTTGCAGAGGTCTGGGGACTGGTTGCAGAGGTCTGGGGATTAGTTGCAGAGGTCTGGAGACTAGTTGCATAGGTCACAGACACTAGTTGCATAGGTCACAGACACTAGTTGCAGAGGTCACAGACACTAGTTGCATAGGTCAGAGACACTAGTTGCAGAGGTCAGAGACACTAGTTGCAGAGGTCACAGACACTAGTTGCAGGGGTCTGAGGTCTAGTTGCAGAGGTCTGAGGTCTAGTTGCAGAGGTCTGAGGTCTAGTTGCAGAGGTCTGGGGACTAGTTGCAGAGGTCAGAGACAGTAGTTGCAGAGGTCAGAGACAGTAGTTGCAGAGGTCAGAGACACTAGTTGCAGAGGTCAGAGACACTAGTTGCAGAGATCAGAGAGACTACTTGCAGAGGTCAGAGACACTAGTTGCATAGGTCTCGGGACTAGTTGCAGAGGTCAGAGACAGTAGTTGCATAGGTCTCGGGACTAGTTGCAGAGGTCAGAGAGACTCGTTGCAGAGGTCTGGGGACTAGTTGCAGAGGTCAGAGAGACTAGTTGCAGAGGTCAGAGAGATTAGTTGCAGAGGTCTGGAGACTAGTTGCAGAGGTCAGAGAGACTAGTTGCAGAGGTCAGAGACAGTAGTTGCAGAGGTCACAGACACTAGTTGCAGAGGTCACAGACACTAGTTGCAGAGGTCAGAGAGACTAGTTGCAGAGGTCACAGACACTAGTTGCAGAGGTCAGAGAGACTAGTTGCAGAGGTCACAGACACTAGTTGCAGAGGTCAGAGAGACTAGTTGCAGAGATCAGAGAGACTAGTTGCAGAGGTCACAGACACTAGTTGCAGAGGTCAGAGAGACTAGTTGCAGAGGTCACAGACACTAGTTGCAGAGGTCAGAGAGACTAGTTGCAGAGGTCAGAGAGACTAGTTGCAGAGGTCACGGGGACTAGTTGCAGAGGTCACGGGGACTAGTTGCAGAGGTCACGGGGACTAGTTGCAGAGGTCACAGACACTAGTTGCAGAGGTCAGAGACAGTAGTTGCATAGGTCTCGGGACTAGTTGCAGAGGTCAAAGAGACTCGTTGCAGAGGTCTGGGGACTAGTTGCAGAGGTCAGAGAGACAAGTTGCAGAGGTCAGAGAGACTCGTTGCAGAGGTCTGGGGACTGGTTGCAGAGGTCTGGGGATTAGTTGCAGAGGTCTGGAGACTAGTTGCAGAGGTCAGAGACACTAGTTGCATAGGTCACAGACACTAGTTGCAGAGGTCACAGACACTAGTTGCAGAGGTCAGAGACACTAGTTGCAGAGGTCTGGGGACTAGTTGCAGGGGTCTGAGGTCTAGTTGCAGAGGTCTGAGGTCTAGTTGCAGAGGTCTGAGGTCTAGTTGCAGAGGTCTGGGGACTAGTTGCAGAGGTCAGAGACAGTAGTTGCAGAGGTCAGAGACAGTAGTTGCAGAGGTCAGAGACACTAGTTGCAGAGGTCAGAGACACTAGTTGCATAGGTCTCGGGACTAGTTGCAGAGGTCAGAGACAGTAGTTGCATAGGTCTCGGGACTAGTTGCAGAGGTCAGAGAGACTCGTTGCAGAGGTCTGGGGACTAGTTGCAGAGGTCAGAGAGACTAGTTGCAGAGGTCAGAGAGATTAGTTGCAGAGGTCTGGAGACTAGTTGCAGAGGTCACAGACACTAGTTGCCGAGGTCTGGAGACTAGTTGCCGAGGTCTGGGGACTAGTTGCCGAGGTCTGGGGACTAGTTGCCGAGGTCAGAGAGACTAGTTGCAGAGGTCAGAGAGATTAGTTGCCGAGGTCTGGAGACTAGTTGCAGAGGTCTGGGGACTAGTTGCCGAGGTCAGAGAGACTAGTTGCAGAGGTCAGAGAGATTAGTTGCCGAGGTCTGGAGACTAGTTGCAGAGGTCACAGACACTAGTTGCAGAGGTCACAGACACTAGTTGCAGAGGTCACAGACACTAGTTGCCGAGGTCTGGAGACTAGTTGCAGAGGTCAGAGAGATTAGTTGCAGAGGTCACAGACACTAGTTGCCGAGGTCACAGACACTAGTTGCCGAGGTCTGGAGACTAGTTGCAGAGGTCACAGACACTAGTTGCAGAGGTCAGAGAGACTAGTTGCAGAGGTCACAGACACTAGTTGCAGAGGTCAGAGAGACTAGTTGCAGAGGTCAGAGAGACTAGTTGCAGAGGTCACGGGGACTAGTTGCAGAGGTCACGGGGACTAGTTGCAGAGGTCACGGGGACTAGTTGCAGAGGTCACAGACACTAGTTGCAGAGGTCAGAGAGACTAGTTGCAGAAGTCACAGACACTAGTTGCAGAGGTCAGAGAGACTAGTTGCAGAGGTCACAGACACTAGTTGCAGAGGTCACAGACACTAGTTGCAGAGGTCACAGACACTAGTTGCAGAGGTCAGAGAGACTAGTTGCAGAGGTCACAGACACTAGTTGCAGAGGTCACAGACACTAGTTGCAGAGGTCTGGGGACTAGTTGCAGAGGTCACAGACACTAGTTGCAGAGGTCTGGGGACTAGTTGCAGTTGGTCAGAATATTTGTTTGTTTGTTGACCTTATTTGTCCAAACGCCCACAGACAGACAGATGACTCATCTTCATCGGGACGAGGAGTGGAGCAGTCAGATTTAAACAGTAAATTCCTAAACACACTACTAACGGACACAAACTCATATGAGACACAGGTACAGATATGTGGACGACACCTGGGTCAAAATTAAAAGCTTTCCCAGAACACATCAACTCTGTGGACAGTAACATCAAGTTCACACGAGAAGACGTCCACAACAACAGTTTGGCCTTCCTGGACTGCGCTGTACACATTGAAGAGGACAGGAGCCTGCAAACTGGGGTTTACAGGAAACCCACACACACAGACCAATACCTACTGTTCGATTCCCACCACCCACTGGAGCACAAGCTAGGGGTCATGAGAACACTGCACCACAGAGCGGACCACATACCAACAAGCGCCCAAGCCAGAGAGAAGGACCAGAACCACCTGAAGGGGGCACTTACAGCCTGTGGAGACCCTAAATGGACCTTTGTGAAAACAGCCACAAGATCCAAGAAGAACAAAACTACAGGGGAGGAAAAGAAGGTCAAACGCAACAACATTGTGATTCCATACGTGTCTGGAGTATCAGAGAAACTCAGGAGGATAAAGCTGCCCTGGACTTTAACCTTCTTTGCAGAATGCTCCTTTAATCCGTAACAGAGGGCAGAGATCGCCACATGAAAGTGTAACAACCTCAAAAGAAACCAGCAGAATGAGACCTCTGACATGTATAGCAATTGTAAGTCGCTTTGGATAAAAGCATCAACTAAATGAGTAAATGAAATGCAGAAAACAAACTGACACCCAGCAGATTCAGGTCTCCGATCTGAACCTGATCTCACTGATCAGGGTCATCACTAACAGCTTCATCGGCATGTGGACGTTAAAACACTGGTCGTTCAGTCTCGGCCACAGGTAGTCTTAACGACTGTAACGACTGTCGTCACAGCAACAAGGAACACTAACGAACCAGCGGTATCGATGACCCGGGCCAACGACCCCACTGAGGTTAAATAGCTGAGTTTCCCTGCCAGTCAGTCAGAACTGAAGAAGTCCTTTGGATGAGGGACGAAACGTCTTCCAGTATCTTCAACCGAGTCCAGTTGCCCTTGACTTTAACCTTCGTTGGAAGGCTAGATCCTCTTAGTCTGGATTTCTTTTGGTGTGAAAAACCTTTTGTATGTTTGTATAGCCTGGTGTATGAACTGCGCTGGACCCGGAGTGCGGGCCTGAGGAAGTGTTGGTGTTTACGCCGCGAGCACAGGAGCTTTAGGCTGCCGGGAGGAGGTTTTCAGGCTCCGACATCCCGAGCAGTCTATTTTTGACGGAAGCTGCGTCGAGAAGCACAGAGCAGATGAGCTGGGCAGGAAGTCAGACACAGAACGACAGAGAGAATTCGGTTGATTTTCAAAATAAAACCCGATTGTACATCAACAATAAACACACTTCAAACAGACAAAAAAAGAAGCAGTTTAACTACGTAACCGACTTAACCATGTTAGAAGCACAAAAATCAAGGACAACTGAACAAACCAACAAAATCTGAACAAATCAGCAAAATCAGGCGGGCAAAACAGAACAGAACTGGCTCTAAGAGAGCTCTTATTCGTAGCTGAAGCACACAACATGACAAATTAACAACATGTCAACAACGTGGGGCAGCTGAACGCTCCGCTGCTGAAACACTTCAGAGTGAGTTGACGCTGGACAAAAAGTCATCATCTCATGTTTTCCGCTCTGATTCTGACCTCCGCAAACTAAACATATTCTGACTTCGACAAAGATGTGAAACGGCTGATATCAGCAGGTTGTCATGGAAACAGAAGAGAGGAAGTGTATTAAGATATTATTTATTAAATATTCAAACAGTTAAAGTGCAGAAAGAAATAAAGCAGAAGAAGGTTGAGGGTTCTACTCCCATCCAGAAGACACGTTTACCTACATTAACACATGCTAACAAAGGCTAACTGGTGCAGAATTGGATACTTAAGTACAGAGGAGACATGTTAGCATCGTTAGCTCGTTAGAACGATGTCTCAAAGTGCTTATTAAGCTAACGCCTGCTGCAGCCGCTTCAGTCGACACCAACATGAACATTTAAAAGTGAAACTCTGATTGGCTGCTCGCTGCATGGTCCAACAGCAGACTGATGATGTCACTGGGATTGAGACAGGCGAGGACTTTGATCTGTTTTCAGCCTGGAAACACTGACCACGCCCCCTCAGTGATGTCACATCAGGTTCTGACCACACACCTTATCAGTGATGTCACAGCAGATGAAAACCTCCTGGGACTTCACTGATGGCGGCTTTGTCTCCAAAATGTCCCCAATGAAATAAAGTTAGTGGTTACTATGGTGACACAGATCACTGCCTCCTGATTGGCTGCTGTGTGAGGAGAGGGCAGAATCAGTCAGTCGCTCAGCAGCAGGTGAGGGGGCGGAGCTCCAGGAGCCACAGCAGAGGTCAGAGGTCAGAGGGCGTCCTTGAGTGGAAAGCGTCGCTGTTTCCTGAGAGGAACGCTATTGGTCAGAGTCTGAAGAGACACAGACAGAATCATGCGCTGTGATTGGCTGATGGGAAGCAGCATGACACAATAAAAATATGACAGTCGGTATCTGTTAACAGCTCATCATCAATACATGCTCAAAGTGAATCTGTCATGAATGACGCATTAAACAAGCTGTGAAATATTAATATCTATACAATAATAACTTGTCTGCACAGTTTAGAGGGGAAATGGACCAAATCCTATTAAAGCTACCTGTAGGTTCACACTTTTCTATTGTTCTGTTGGTTTCATGCTGTCTCGCCCTGAGTGGATTAAAGATGGACATTTTATAGAAAGTACTTAAGGAACGCTGCTCATTTCAGGAAACGAGGGATATAAAGGTTACGAAGCAAAGATTCCCCTGCCCTCTCTAATCCTGGCCAACGTCCAACAGCTGAGGAGGAACATGTTCCAATGCAGATTAATCTCATCTCTGCTTGTCTCAGGGACCTAGACTCAGGGAATCTCTGAGGCTCCCTTGGACAGAAATGGCTGCTTCCCTTCAGGAGAGTTTGTTCAGGTCTGTGATGAGGACCAAGAGATCCCTGCTGCCATTTCCATGTGCACCAGCAGAGAGTATTTAAAGCAACATGACATGGTTTATCCTGAAGTAGATCATCAGGAACGGACACTGACTTGTAATAGTGAGACTCGTGTCTCTGTGGTTGGAGTCACTACCACAGTGTCGTACTGTGAACTCTGGAACCCTGAGCGTAGCACTGTAAGGCAATCAAACTGTGGAAGAACTCGAGGCTGAGAAGAGGGAATCAGCAGCTTTATACATTTGATAGATACAGAACACGCTGGGGGACGGCGCCCGCTCAGCTCGCTCTCATTGGCTGCTGCAGGTTTCTGATCGGCCCCCCGATTTCATAAATATTACGAATCCAGCCGGCGACCTTCAGATTATGTCTGTAAACCCTCACACTACAGAATCGTTTAGGCCAATAATCTGTTCCAACCCGCCTCGGATCGGGACTGTTGGGATTGTGACAGCCCAGGTGACTTCCTGTTTGGGCCGTCCTTTCTGAGGCCTCACTGATTATTACCTGCTGCTCCCTCGCTGTATGAGCTGCTGGAGTTAGTCAGTTTCTCGCTCTCTCCCTGGGCACATGCTTTGTTCATTAAGCTGATGGTACACAGTGCAACTTTTAAAGCAATCGTGCAGGGCAACGTTGCCGTCAACCGTAATCCCCTTCCCCCACCTCTCCGCCACAAAAAGTTGCCCCGTGTATCATCAACTTTACACTTCACTGTACACACACAGACACTCAACACACTACTGATTTGCATCCGTTATATCTTTATGTGTTCTGTTATATTTTGTTAAATAAATCTTTAGTTACAGGTTACGTGGTTTCCTCTCCTCTTTGTCCTCCGTTTGAGCCGGGTTGAATCAGACCCAAAATCTGCCTGTGTGTCCTCCAGTGTGCGGCAGCATCAGGGCGATGAACACACTTTGAACTTAAATTCAAAACATGATCTTTGATTTTGTACATTTCTCCCTTAATCCGTGCAGAAAACTCCTTGATAATCCCTTCATATATGTGTCCATTGTTTCCATTAATTTGTCCAGATAATGGATTTTCAAATTAAACTCTACTTCCTGTGTTCATTAAGGGCTTTTTAAATTAAGGGCTGTTGAAGGGGAAAAGGACAGAGGAAGGATCTCTGCATCCAGATATTTTGAGGGGAAATTAAGAGTTAAAGGGATTTTAAGGGATTGTGGTAGATTAAGTGTTTATGCTGATGATGATGTCACTAACCAGGCGGAGGCGGTGTGCGTACAGAGGCTCTGGTTCGTCTGGTTTCTGGGTCGGCACAGTGACGTGCCAGCGCTGCAGCTCCGCCATCATTTCTGCCGGGCTGAAGAGGACTGCCGGGTCGGCACTGCAACGGTTAATCAGCGCCACCAAACGCTCCTTATAATGCAACCTGTCGGAACAGACGGGTGGAGACTGTACATCTGATATTGATACAAACACACCTGTACAGGTGAATCGGACTAGATACAGGAGTCAGACTGGAAGCTGGTACTATGGTTAGACTGGTAGCTGGGACTGGGGTCAGACTGGTAGCTGGTATTATGGTCAGACTGGTGGTTGGTACAGGGGTCAGACTGGTAGCTGGTACTGGGGTCAGACTGGAAGCTGGTACTATGGTTAGACTTGTAGCTGGTACAGGGGTCAGACTGGTAGCTGGTACTATGGTCAGACTGGTGGTTGGTACAGGGGTCAGACTGGTGGTTGGTACAGGAGTAAGACTGGTAGCTGGTACTATGGTCAGACCGGTGGTTGGTACAGGAGTAAGACTGGTGGTTGGTACAGGAGTAAGACTGGTAGCTGGTACTGGGGTCAGACTCGTAGCTGGTACTACGGTTGGACTGGTAGCTGTTACTACGTTTGGACTGGTAGCTGGTACTACAGTTGGACTGGTAGCTGGTACTATGGTAGGACTGGTAGCTGGTACAGTGGTCAGACTGGTAGCTGGGACAGGGGTCAGACTGGTAGCTGAGACAGGGGTCAGACTGGTAGCTGGGACAGGGGTCAGACTGGTAGCTGGTACTATGGTTAGACTGGTAGCTGGTACTATGGTCAGACTGGTGGTTGGTAAAGGGGTCAGACTGGTAGCTGGTACTATGGTTAGACTGGTAGCTGGTACTATGGTCAGACTGGTGGTTGGTACAGGGGTAAGACTGGTGGTTGGTAAAGGGGTCAGACTGGTAGCTGGTACTATGGTTAGACTGGTAGCTGGTACTATGGTCAGACTGGTAGCTGGTACTATGGTCAGACTGGTGGTTGGTAAAGGGGTCAGACTGGTAGCTGGTACAGTGGTCAGACTGGTAGCTGGGACAGGGGTAAGACTGGTTGTTGGTAAAGGGGTCAGACTGGTAGCTGGTACTGGGGTCAGACTGGTAGCTGGTACTATGGTCAGACTGGTGGTTGGTACAGGAGTCAGACTGGTAGCTGGTACTGGGGTCAGACTGGAAGCTGGTACTATGGTTAGACTGGTGGTTGGTACAGGAGTCAGACTGGTGATTGGTACAGGAGTCACACTGGTAGCTGGTACTGGGGTGTACTGGGGTCAGACTGGAAGCTGGTACTATGGTTAGACTGGTGGTTGGTACAGGAGTCAGACTGGTAGCTGGTACATTGGTCAGACTGGTAGCTGGTACATTGGTCAGACTGGTGGCTGGTACAGGGGTCAGACTGGTAGCTGGTACTGGGGTCAGACTGGTGGTTGGTACAGGAGTCAGACTGGAAGCTGGTACTATGGTTAGACTTGTAGCTGGGACAGGGGTCAGACTGGTAGCTGGTAAAGGGGTCAAACTGGTAGCTGGTACAGGAGTCAGACGGGTAGCTGGTACTATGGTCAGACCGGTGGTTGGTACAGGAGTAAGACTGGTGGTTGGTACAGGAGTAAGACTGGTAGCTGGTACTGGGGTCAGACTCGTAGCTGGTACTACGGTTGGACTGGTAGCTGGTACTACGGTTGGACTGGTAGCTGGTACTACGGTTGGACTGGTAGCTGGTACTACGGTAGGACTGGTAGCTGGTACAGGAGTCAGACTGGTAGCTGGTACTGGGGTCAGCCTGGTAGCTGGTACAGGAGTCAGACTGGAAGCTGGTACAGGGGTCAGACTGGTGGTTGGTAAAGGGGTCAGACTGGTAGCTGGTACTGGGATCAGACTGATGGTTGGTAAAGGGGTCAGACTGGTGGTTGGTACAGGAGTCAGACTGGTAGCTGGTACATTGGTCAGACTGGTAGCTGGGACAGGGGTCAGACTGGTAGCTGGGACAGGGGTCAGACTGGTGGTTGGTAAAGGGGTCAGACTGGTGGTTGGTAAAGGGGTCAGACTGGTAGCTGGTACTATGGTTAGACTGGTAGCTGGTACTATGGTCAGACTGGTGGTTGGTAAAGGGGTCAGACTGGTAGCTGGTACTATGGTTAGACTGGTAGCTGGTACTATGGTCAGACTGGTGGCTGGTACAGGGGTCAGACTGGTAGCTGGTACAGGGGTCAAACTGGTAGCTGGTACAGGAGTCAGACTGGTAGCTGGTACTATGGTCAGACCGGTGGTTGGTACTATGGTTAGACTTGTAGCTGGTACAGGGGTCAGACTGGTAGCTGGTACTATGGTCAGACTGGTGGTTGGTACAGGGGTCAGACTGGTGGTTGGTACAGGAGTAAGACTGGTAGCTGGTACTATGGTCAGACCGGTGGTTGGTACAGGAGTAAGACTGGTGGTTGGTACAGGAGTAAGACTGGTAGCTGGTACTGGGGTCAGACTCGTAGCTGGTACTACGGTTGGACTGGTAGCTGTTACTACGTTTGGACTGGTAGCTGGTACTACAGTTGGACTGGTAGCTGGTACTATGGTAGGACTGGTAGCTGGTACAGTGGTCAGACTGGTAGCTGGGACAGGGGTCAGACTGGTAGCTGAGACAGGGGTCAGACTGGTAGCTGGGACAGGGGTCAGACTGGTAGCTGGTACTATGGTTAGACTGGTAGCTGGTACTATGGTCAGACTGGTGGTTGGTAAAGGGGTCAGACTGGTAGCTGGTACTATGGTTAGACTGGTAGCTGGTACTATGGTCAGACTGGTGGTTGGTACAGGGGTAAGACTGGTGGTTGGTAAAGGGGTCAGACTGGTAGCTGGTACTATGGTTAGACTGGTAGCTGGTACTATGGTCAGACTGGTAGCTGGTACTATGGTCAGACTGGTGGTTGGTAAAGGGGTCAGACTGGTAGCTGGTACAGTGGTCAGACTGGTAGCTGGGACAGGGGTAAGACTGGTTGTTGGTAAAGGGGTCAGACTGGTAGCTGGTACTGGGGTCAGACTGGTAGCTGGTACTATGGTCAGACTGGTGGTTGGTACAGGAGTCAGACTGGTAGCTGGTACTGGGGTCAGACTGGAAGCTGGTACTATGGTTAGACTGGTGGTTGGTACAGGAGTCAGACTGGTGATTGGTACAGGAGTCACACTGGTAGCTGGTACTGGGGTGTACTGGGGTCAGACTGGAAGCTGGTACTATGGTTAGACTGGTGGTTGGTACATTGGTCAGACTGGTGGCTGGTACAGGGGTCAGACTGGTAGCTGGTACTGGGGTCAGACTGGTGGTTGGTACAGGAGTCAGACTGGAAGCTGGTACTATGGTTAGACTTGTAGCTGGGACAGGGGTCAGACTGGTAGCTGGTAAAGGGGTCAAACTGGTAGCTGGTACAGGAGTCAGACGGGTAGCTGGTACTATGGTCAGACCGGTGGTTGGTACAGGAGTAAGACTGGTGGTTGGTACAGGAGTAAGACTGGTAGCTGGTACTGGGGTCAGACTCGTAGCTGGTACTACGGTTGGACTGGTAGCTGGTACTACGGTTGGACTGGTAGCTGGTACTACGGTTGGACTGGTAGCTGGTACTACGGTAGGACTGGTAGCTGGTACAGGAGTCAGACTGGTAGCTGGTACTGGGGTCAGCCTGGTAGCTGGTACAGGAGTCAGACTGGAAGCTGGTACAGGGGTCAGACTGGTGGTTGGTAAAGGGGTCAGACTGGTAGCTGGTACTGGGATCAGACTGATGGTTGGTAAAGGGGTCAGACTGGTGGTTGGTACAGGAGTCAGACTGGTAGCTGGTACATTGGTCAGACTGGTAGCTGGGACAGGGGTCAGACTGGTAGCTGGGACAGGGGTCAGACTGGTGGTTGGTAAAGGGGTCAGACTGGTGGTTGGTAAAGGGGTCAGACTGGTAGCTGGTACTATGGTTAGACTGGTAGCTGGTACTATGGTCAGACTGGTGGTTGGTAAAGGGGTCAGACTGGTAGCTGGTACTATGGTTAGACTGGTAGCTGGTACTATGGTCAGACTGGTGGCTGGTACAGGGGTCAGACTGGTAGCTGGTACAGGGGTCAAACTGGTAGCTGGTACAGGAGTCAGACTGGTAGCTGGTACTATGGTCAGACCGGTGGTTGGTACAGGAGTAAGACTGGTGGTTGGTACAGGAGTAAGACTGGTAGCTGGTACTGGGGTCAGACTGGTAGCTGGTACTACGGTTGGACTGGTAGCTGGTACAGGAGTCAGACTGGTGGTTGGTACAGGGGTAAGACTGGTGGTTGGTACTGGGGTGTACTGGGGTCAGACTGGTAGCTGGTACTATGGTTAGACTGGTGGTTGGTACAGGAGTCAGACTGGTAGCTGGTACATTGGTCAGTTCAAGTTCAAGTTCATTTTTATTTATATAGCACATTTTATAGCAGCCAATGACTGACCAAAGTGCTTTACAGAACAACAAAATTAAAAGACACTAACACCATGCATAGCAGCACATCATAGAACAGTACAGCAAAGATAAGAACAGCTTAGAACGGAAGAAGCACAAGCAATCATAGAGTTATCAAAAATAAACAACAGAAAGGACATATAAACATACACACACACACATATACATATAGGTATATGTATATACAAAGATACTCATACATAAACAACCTTAATTATAGGCCAAAGAAAACAAGTGCGTTTTTAAAAGTGACTTAAAAGAGATCACAGAAGGGGCTATCCTAACGTCTAAGGGCAAATTGTTCCACAGCCGAGGCCCAACCACAGAAAAAGCTCGATCCCCTCTGCGTTTAAGTCTGCAGTGAGGGACTTGTAACAGATTTTGTTCGCCTGATCTGAGACTTCTCGATGGAGTATACGGTTGCAGCAGTTCAGTTAGGTAGCTAGGTGCTTGGTTGCATAAAGCTTTGTACACAAATAACAGGATTTTAAACTCAGTTCTGAAATTAACGGGCAACCAATGAAGAGACCGCAGAATTGGGGTGATATGATCACTTTTACGACTATTTGTGAGGAATCTTGCGGCGGCATTTTGCACCAATTGCAGACGAGCAGTTTGGGATTTCGAGATACCACAGTAAAGTGAATTGCAGTAATCTACACGTGTGGTGATAAAAGCATGACTGGTAGCTGGTACATTGGTCAGACTGGTGGCTGGTACAGGAGTCAGACTGGTGGCTGGGATGGAGGTCAGACTGGTAGCTGGTACTATGGTCGGACTGGTAGCTGGTACTATGGTCAGACCGGTGGTTGGTACAGGAGTAAGACTGGTGGTTGGTACAGGAGTAAGACTGGTAGCTGGTACTGGGGTCAGACTGGTAGCTGGTACTATGGTTAGACTGGTGGTTGGTACAGGAGTCAGACTGGTGGTTGGTACAGGGGTAAGACTGGTGGTTGGTACTGGGGTGTACTGGGGTCAGACTGGTAGCTGGTACAGGAGTCAGACTGGTAGCTGGTACAGTGGTCAGACTGGTAGCTGGGACAGGGGTCAGACTGGTAGCTGGTACTGGGGTCAGACTGGTAGCTGGGACAGGGGTCAGACTGGTAGCTGGGACAGGGGTCAGACTGGTAGCTGGGACAGGGGTCAGACTGGTAGCTGGGACAGGGGTCAGACTGGTAGCTGGGACAGGGGTCAGACTGGTAGCTGGGACAGGGGTCAGACTGGTAGCTGGTACTATGGTTAGACTGGTAGCTGGTACTATGGTCAGACTGGTGGTTGGTAAAGGGGTCAGACTGGTAGCTGGTACTATGGTTAGACTGGTAGCTGGTACTATGGTCAGACTGGTGGTTGGTAAAGGGGTCAGACTGGTAGCTGGTACTATGGTTAGACTGGTAGCTGGTACTATGGTCAGACTGGTAGCTGGTACTATGGTCAGACTGGTGGTTGGTAAAAGGGTCAGACTGGTAGCTGGTACAGTGGTCAGACTGGTAGCTGGGACAGGGGTAAGACTGGTTGTTGGTAAAGGGGTCAGACTGGTAGCTGGTACTGGGGTCAGACTGGTAGCTGGTACTATGGTCAGACTGGTGGTTGGTACAGGAGTCAGACTGGTAGCTGGTACTGGGGTCAGACTGGAAGCTGGTACTATGGTTAGACTGGTGGTTGGTACAGGAGTCAGACTGGTGATTGGTACAGGAGTCACACTGGTAGCTGGTACTGGGGTGTACTGGGGTCAGACTGGAAGCTGGTACTATGGTTAGACTGGTGGTTGGTACAGGAGTCAGACTGGTAGCTGGTACATTGGTCAGACTGGTAGCTGGTACATTGGTCAGACTGGTGGCTGGTACAGGGGTCAGACTGGTAGCTGGTACTGGGGTCAGACTGGTGGTTGGTACAGGAGTCAGACTGGAAGCTGGTACTATGGTTAGACTTGTAGCTGGGACAGGGGTCAGACTGGTAGCTGGTAAAGGGGTCAAACTGGTAGCTGGTACAGGAGTCAGACGGGTAGCTGGTACTATGGTCAGACCGGTGGTTGGTACAGGAGTAAGACTGGTGGTTGGTACAGGAGTAAGACTGGTAGCTGGTACTGGGGTCAGACTCGTAGCTGGTACTACGGTTGGACTGGTAGCTGGTACTACGGTTGGACTGGTAGCTGGTACTACGGTTGGACTGGTAGCTGGTACTACGGTAGGACTGGTAGCTGGTACAGGAGTCAGACTGGTAGCTGGTACTGGGGTCAGCCTGGTAGCTGGTACAGGAGTCAGACTGGAAGCTGGTACAGGGGTCAGACTGGTGGTTGGTAAAGGGGTCAGACTGGTAGCTGGTACTGGGATCAGACTGATGGTTGGTAAAGGGGTCAGACTGGTGGTTGGTACAGGAGTCAGACTGGTAGCTGGTACATTGGTCAGACTGGTAGCTGGTACAGGGGTCAGACTGGTAGCTGGGACAGGGGTCAGACTGGTGGTTGGTAAAGGGGTCAGACTGGTGGTTGGTAAAGGGGTCAGACTGGTGGTTGGTAAAGGGGTCAGACTGGTAGCTGGTACTATGGTTAGACTGGTAGCTGGTACTATGGTCAGACTGGTGGTTGGTAAAGGGGTCAGACTGGTAGCTGGTACTATGGTTAGACTGGTAGCTGGTACTATGGTCAGACTGGTGGCTGGTACAGGGGTCAGACTGGTAGCTGGTACAGGGGTCAAACTGGTAGCTGGTACAGGAGTCAGACTGGTAGCTGGTACTATGGTCAGACCGGTGGTTGGTACAGGAGTAAGACTGGTGGTTGGTACAGGAGTAAGACTGGTAGCTGGTACTGGGGTCAGACTGGTAGCTGGTACTACGGTTGGACTGGTAGCTGGTACAGGAGTCAGACTGGTGGTTGGTACAGGGGTAAGACTGGTGGTTGGTACTGGGGTGTACTGGGGTCAGACTGGTAGCTGGTACTATGGTTAGACTGGTGGTTGGTACAGGAGTCAGACTGGTAGCTGGTACATTGGTCAGACTGGTAGCTGGTACATTGGTCAGACTGGTAGCTGGTACAGGAGTCAGACTGGTGGCTGGGATGGAGGTCAGACTGGTAGCTGGTACTATGGTCGGACTGGTAGCTGGTACTATGGTCAGACCGGTGGTTGGTACAGGAGTAAGACTGGTAGCTGGTACAGGAGTAAGACTGGTAGCTGGTACTGGGGTCAGACTGGTAGCTGGTACTATGGTTAGACTGGTGGTTGGTACAGGAGTCAGACTGGTGGTTGGTACAGGGGTAAGACTGGTGGTTGGTACTGGGGTGTACTGGGGTCAGACTGGTAGCTGGTACAGGAGTCAGACTGGTAGTTGGTACAGTGGTCAGACTGGTAGCTGGGACAGGGGTCAGACTGGTAGCTGGTACTGGGGTCAGACTAGTAGCTGGGACAGGGGTCAGACTGGTAGCTGGGACAGGGGTCAGACTGGTAGCTGGGACAGGGGTCAGATTGGTGGTTGTTACAGGGGTCAGATTGGTGGTTGTTACAGGGGTCAGCCTGGTAGCTGGTACTGGGGTCAGCCTGGTAGCTGGTACTGGGGTCAGACTGGTAGCTGGGACAGGGGTCAGACTGGTAGCTGGGACAGGGGTCAGACTGGTAGCTGGTACAGGGGTCAGACTGGTAGCTGGTACAGGGGTCAGACTGGTACAGTGGGGGAAATAAGTATTTGACCCCTTGCTGATTTTGCAGGTTTGCCCACTTACAAAGAATGCAACAATCTACAATTTTAATCATATGTACATTCTAACAGTGAAAGACAGAATCCCAAAGAAAATTCCAGAAAATCACATCATATGAATTTATAAAAATTGATAACCATCTGATGAGGAAAAACAAGTATATGACCCCCTACCAAACAGCAAGTATTCTGGCTCCTACAAGCCAGTTAGTCTTTCTTTAAGACACAGCCCCAATCCCAACCAATTATCTACATCAAATACACCTGCCTCACCTCGTTACCTGTATAAAAGACACCTGTCAACACCCAAACAACCAGCATCCAACATCACCACCATGGGCAAGACCAAAGAGCTTTCTACGGACATCAGGGACAAGATTGTTGATCTGCACAAGGCTGGGATGGGCTACAAGAGAATCGGAAAGCAACTTGGAGAGAAAAGATCAACTGTCGGTGCAGTTATCAGGAAATGGAAGAAGCACCACACCACCGCCAACCTCCCTCGGTCTGGGCCTCCACACAAGATCTCGCCTCGTGGGGTGTCCCTGATCATGCGAACGGTGAGGAATCATCCCAAAACCACAAGGGGGGAACTGATGAATCAACTGAAGGCAGCTGGGACCACAGTTACAAAAGAAATGGTTGGTAACACACTACGCCGTCATGGATTGAAATCCTGCAGCGCACGCAAGGTCCCCCTGCTCAAGAAGAAACATGTACAGGCCCGCATGAAGTTCGCCATTCACCACCTGGACGACTCAGAAGAGGCCTGGAAGAAGGTGATGTGGTCAGATGAGACCAAAATAGAACTTTTTGGCCTCAACTCAACTCGTCGTGTTTGGAGGGCAAAGAACACCGAGTACAACCCAAAGAACACCATCCCCACCGTCAAGCATGGTGGTGGCAACATCATGCTTTGGGGGTGCTTTTCAGCCAAGGGGACGGGACAACTCCATCGTATTGAGGGGAGGATGGACGGGGCCATGTATCGTGGAATTCTGGACCAACATCTCCTTCCCTCAGTGAGAGAGCTGAAGATGGGTCGAGGATGGGTGTTTCAGCACGACAACGACCCTAAGCACACCGCCAAAGCAACAAAAGAGTGGCTGAAGAAGAAGCACATCAAGGTTCTGGAGTGGCCTAGCCAGTCTCCAGACCTGAATCCAATTGAAAATCTTTGGAGGGAGCTTAAAATTCGAGTTGCCAGGCGACAACCTCGGAACCTGAATGATTTGGAGGCTGTCTGCAGGGAGGAGTGGGCCAACATCCCTGCCGAAATGTGCACAAACCTTGTCACCAACTATAAAAACCGTTTGACATCTGTGCTGGCCAATAATGGCTTTTCTACAAAATATTAACATGCTGTTTGTCCAGGGGGTCAAATACTTGTTTTTCCTCATCAGATGGTTATCAATTTTTATAAATTCATGTTCTGTGATTTTCTGGAATTTTCTTTGGGATTCTGTCTTTCACTGTTAGAATGTACATATGATTAAAATTATAGATCGTTGCATTCTTTGTAAGTGGGCAAACCTGCAAAATCAGCAAGGGGTCAAATACTTATTTCCCCCACTGTAGCTGGTACAGGAGTCAGACTGGTAGCTGGTACTATGGTCAGACTGGTGGTTGGTACAGGAGTCAGACTGGTAGCTGGTACTATGGTCAGACTGGTGGTTGGTACAGGAGTCAGACTGGTAGCTGGTACTATGGTCAGACTGGTGGTTGGTACAGGAGTCAGACTGGTAGCTGGTACAGGGGTCAGACTGGTAGCTGGGACTGGGGTCAGACTGGTAGCTGGGACTGGGATCAGCCTGGTAGCTGGTACTATGGTTAGACTCATAGTTGGTTCAGGGAGTGATGGTCTTACTGGCAGTATCCTCTGTACTCGGGTAGAGCAGGTCGTCCACAGGGCTCCTCCCGTCTGCTGCTTTCGTCTCTCAGCTCCAAAACCAGACACACTCCTGAAAATGCACAAAAACACACATGTCAATCGAACTGGTAGAAAGATTCCATCTGATGAGCAGAAAGAGACCTCACCTGTCTGACAGGTACCAGGTGAGCTGCCATTTGTTGGTTCCAGCCAGGTAGGAGACACTCTGTAATACTGAGAAACCAGAAACTGTTAGGAGTCTGGTTTTTGTGTTCACGTCTTTCCTGTTTAAGTCTGTTTTAGGTTCTGTGTTTCTCTGTGTATTCTTGTTCAGTTAGTTCCTAGTCCTGTACATTAGTTAATATCTTTTGTGTTTGTTTACTCCTGGTCTTGTGTTCCCGGTTTTGTCTTCTGTATTCCCTTGGTCATTTACTGGTTCTGTTTAGCCCGTACTTGTGCATTCTTGGTTATTCACCCATGTCTGCTTGTCTAAGTGTTCTCTCTGTTACCCCCTGCATCTGTTTTCCTGCTTTCTCTCTGCCTCGTTAGCCCTGATCCCGCTCACCTGTGTTGCTCCCGCCCCGCTCGTTAGTCCCTGTGTACATGTATGCCTGCTTGTCTCTCCAGTCTTTGACACGTCCTTGCGTCTAAAGTTGAGTGTTCCTGCCTGTTCCTTGTCTTCCTAGTTCTGGATTATTCCCTGTGTTTTGGGTTGCCTTGTGTTCTGGACTACCTTTGTTGGACTTTGCCTCGAGCTCCTTGTAAGCCTGTTTAAGTTAGTTTTTTGAGTTAATAAACATTTTTGGACTGCAACCTCCTCGCCTTGCCATTGTCTGCATTTGGGTCCTCGCCCCAGTCTGAACTCAGCGCCCCAACTCATGACAGAAACACAGTCCAGCTCATCACCTGCACATAAGTCATCAGTACTGTCCACACATCACCTGCGTACACCTGAGCTCTCAAAGCAACAGTCTCTCAGGTGCTTCTTACCTGCAGTAGCAGGTGTAGCCTGGCCACGCTCCAGTCTCTCAGGTGGTAAAGGCAGTTTCTGGGGTGGTGGGCGTGAAGACCTTTGGTTCTACAGTCAGCAGAAAAACCGCAGGCCTAAAGACATTAAAGTTCAAATGGAACCAGGTTGTAAAGTCTTCCGTCTCAGGAGAGGTTCACATTTAAAGGTCTGGGTCTTCACTCAAACAAATGGCAATTCCCACTATCTGGAAATCTTTCACCATGATTCCAGTTCCTAGGATCAGCAAACGGAGGCAACAAAATGATTTGAGGCCCGTTGCGTTAACATCACTAATTATGAAGATATCATCTGTAGATGGAGACTTGATCCCCTGCAATTTGCCAGTTGAGCGGGGAGGAGAGTAGAGGATGCCAAGCTTTTCATACTGATTAGCCACTATAAGCAGTTAGATAAACCAAAATCCCTTGCTGGGCTTCTGTTTGCAGATACTTCTTCTGCATTTCATACAATGGAACCACATCCTTATAAGGTCCAGTGTGTAATATTTCTGAGGATCTGCTGAGATAAACAATCTAAGATCCATAACTATGTTTTCAGTGGTGTGTAAAGACCTTACATAAGGAACCACTTCTATCTACAGACACCGTGGCTCCTCTTACGTGGACCATGTTTACCATGTTGCGCCGCCATGTTTCTACATTAGCCCAAACGTACAAACAGCATGACAGAGCGTGTTTTGTCCATAGACTGTACATACAAAGGTTTCGTCACTACGTTCTTCTTCTTCTTCTGGAATTCAGGCAGTGTAGACACTCATCACTATGTTGAATACGTACGTTCGAAGAAGAATAAGAAGTAATTAAAGCTGCAAGCAGCGTTGGGCGGGCCCTCGCATGTGTAGCGCGTCGGGGTGTGAGCCAACCGCGTTGCATATTCTACGCACTTCGGCCGCTGCATGAAGGTGTTATACGTCACTTCCTGTGTCCCCTTTTTGGCGTTACATGGCACCTCGCGCTGTGAATATATATTAATATTGGCGTGTAGATGTCTCCGTGGTGGGACAGTTATCAAGCACGTAAAGTTTTGTGCAGATGTGAGCATGTATACTGAAGTTACAACAACTTCCTGTGTCATGGCGAAGAGTTGATCTTTGACGCCACGCCACGGACACGCCCATCGACGAAAACTCACAACTTTTCATCTTCAATGCCTTTAGAAGGCACAGCAGAAATTTGAAGTCGATCGGACTAAATCCCTAGGAGGAGTTCGTTAAAGTACGAAGTGTGTAAATCATCCAATAAGTGCCGTAGAATTCAAAATGGCCGACTTCCTGTTGGGTTTAGGGCATCGCTCCAAGAGGCTTTTTGGTACGTCTGGACAAGATACATGTGCCACAGAAATTTCATACATGTAGGTAAAACGTGCGGCAGGGGCTGCTTCTTTAAATGTCACTTGCTGTTGCCAGCAGGCGGTGCTATGACTGTGGGTGAATATCGGCATGTACATTCAATTCAATTTCACTTCAATTTTATTTATATAGCGCCAAATCACAACAACAGTTATCTCACAGCGCTTTTCATAAAAGAGCAGGTCTAGACCGTACTCTATGATGCTATTTACAGACGTCAAACAGTTCCCACCAAGAGCAGCACTAGGAGACAGAGGCAGAAACCTCGAGCAGAACCATGGCTCAGGGTGGGCGGCCATCTGCCTCGACCGGTTGGGGTGAAGGAGAGAGAGGGAGAGAGAGAGAGAAAGAGAGAGGGATGGAAGGAGAGAGAGAGAGGGGAGGGAGGCTGCCTACACCATATACACACAGAGGTACAGACAGTAAAGGTGATGTTGCTATAGACTAAATGAAAAATGAGACAGACATTTATAGTAGTGTTAATGATAACAATCATAGTGTTAATTATTATAATAACAATAATAACAATAGGACTAGTAACAATAGTCGTTGCAGCAGAGGGTGCCGAGCAGGAACACGGGGGCAGCAGGTGACCCGCAACCACAGATCCAGACTCCACAGCTCCAGAGCCAGAAAACCTGCAGGAAGTGACAGGAGGAGAGAGGAGAGGGACGAGAAAGCACAAGACTACCAGAAAGGGGAGAAGTTGTGTTAGTAACATGCAATAATGGGATGAGGTTGCATACAGAGGGAGAGAAAGTAGAGGAGAGAGGAGCTCAGTGCATCATGGGAAATCCCCCGGCAGTCTAGGCCTATAGCAGCATAACTAAGGGATGGTTCAGGACTCACCTGAGCCAGCCCTAACTATAAGCTTTATCAAAGAGGAAAGTCTTAAGCCTACTCTTAAATGTGGAGATGGTGTCTGCCTCCTGAACCCAAACTGGAACCTGGTTCCACAGGAGAGGAGCTTGATAGCTGAACGCTCTGGCTCCTAGTCTACTTTTGGAGACTCTAGGACCCACAGGTGCATTCTGGGAGTGCAGTGCTCTGGTGGGGTAGTGTTACTGAGGCAACTAGGTAGGGCTAGTTCATCAAGATTTTCAGCTAGTGAACAGGATGGTGTATCGGTCAGGACACAGGAATGAAGACGAGGAGATGTAATTTCTTCCTTCAACTGTATTGAGCTCCAGCAGTACTCATCAGAACATTCCAATATCCATCTTTGTCATTATAGTCTGTATGAAACCAAATAAATCACCATTAGGTACTTGAATTAATATGCAACGTGAATAATAAATCCACATACATAATGTAATTAAATCATCCAACATAAACATCTCAAAACATTGCTATTCCCCTTTAAACATAAGTTTACAATTACAGAAATGTGGATATTACTCCTTCGAAAGACATAAGGAGCTTCACGTATCTCACTGACCAGTTTACATCATAGATTGCATTGAAAGGGGGTTCACATAAGGAGCAATGGCGACACCCTCTGGCTAGCCGAGGCTACTACACAATAGCGTCTGCACGTGGTCTAATGAACACGATACGAACACTCCTTAATTCAGTGTTATAGGTGTCACTGAGTAACTTAGACATCAGAAGGCTCACACCAGTTAACTTATAATTTCCTGCAGTGTTTTACAGCATGAACATTGTGCTAACATTAGAAATCTCACTCATCACACTGGCCACATGTGAATGCATGTTAACTCTACAATACAGAAACAAACACAACAAAGTTACAGTCACTTACTTCTCGTCATTAACTCAACACACGGAATATTGGAAGCTGGATCATTCAGGAGGAAATAACCATGCCAATCGTCACAGGTACGTGGGCTAAACTATGCTCGTTGAACTTGAAAAAGTTTCCGTTCCCACTATAGCCAACACACTAGCTACACACTTCCCCTACTGTAACCACAGAAGAAGAGTCTTAAAGCGGCAGGCACCCAGAAATGTCAGAGCCTTTTATACAGGTAGTAAGGTACTATGAGCTCTTTAAGATAAGATGGTGCCTGACCATTAAGAGCTTTGTAGGTAAGAAGAATGATTTTAAATTCTATTCTGGATTTTACTGGAAGCCAATGCAAAGAAGCTAAAACAGGAGAAATATGATCTCTTTTCCTTCCTATCCTTAGATAATGCGTCACGGTGGTGCTTAGGCCCCAGAACAATAACTTCAGTTTTATCTGAGTTTAACATTAGAAAATTACAGGTCATCCAGGTTTTAACATCCTGAAGGCACATTTGAAGTTTAGCTAACTGATGAGTTTCATCTGGCTTGATCGATAGATATAACTGAGTATCATCTGCATAACAATGAAAGTTTATGGAATATTTCCTGATAATATTGCCTAAAGGAAGCATATATAAAATGAAGAGGATTGGTCCAAGGACAGATCCTTGAGGAACTCCATGACTAACTTTGGCATGCATGGAGGACTCATCGTTAACTTGTACAAACTGAAATCGATCTGATAAATAGGACTTAAACCAGCTTAGAGCGGTTCCTTTAATGCCAATGAAATGTTCCAGTCTCTGCAATAGGATCTGATAGTCAGTGGTATCAAATGCAGCACTAAGATCTAATAAAACCAGTACAGAGACAAGTCCTTTGTCTGATGCAATAAGGAGGTCATTAGTAATTTTCACCAGTGCTGTCTCTGTGCTATGATGAGCTCTAAATCCTGACTGAAAATCCTCAAATAAACTATTGCTCTGTAGAAAGTCACACAGCTGTTTTGCAACTGCTTTCTCCAGGACCTTAGAGAGAAATGGAAGGTTAGATATAGGTCTATAGTTGGCTAAAACATCCGGATCAAGTTTGGGCTTTTTCAGAAGAGGTTTAATTACAGCTACTTTAAAGTACTGTGGTACATAGCCTGTTGATAAAGATAGATTGATCACATCTAGTATAGAAGTGCTGACTGAGGGTAAACCATCTTTAAGCAGCTTAGTCGGGATGGGGTCTAAGAGGCAGGTTGATGGTTTAGACGAAGAAATTATTGAAGTTAGTTGGTAAAGATTGAGGGAAGCAAAACAGTCTAAACATGTATCTGGTTCTACAGCTGTTTCTAAGGTTCCTGAGTTAAGAGATAAGTCGGTGCCAGTTGAGGGCAGGTCTTGGTGAATTTTGTCTCTAATAGTTAGAATTTTATCATTAAAGAAGCTCATGAAGTCGTAACTACTGAGAGCTATGGGAATACTTGGCTCAATAGAGCTGTGACTCTTGGGGAAAAGAAACCTGGGGTTGTTCCTATTTTCCTCTATTAATGACGAGTAGTACGCTGCTCTGGCATTACGGAGGGCCTTCCTATAAGTTTTAAGACTATCTTGCCAGATTAAACGAGAATTTTCCACTTTGGTGGAACGCCAATTCCTCTCAAGTTTCCGTGATATTTGCTTTAATTTGCGAGTTTCAGTATTATACCATGGAGCTAACCGTCTTTGTTTTAGTATTTTCTTTTTTAGAGGGGCTACAGAGTCGAGTGTCATTCGCAGCGAGCCTGCAGCACTATCAACAAGATGATCGATTTGGGAGGGACTGAAATTAGCACAGGAGTCCTCCGTTACTTTGTGACTAGATAATGAATTTAGAGCTGATGGAATCGCATCCTTAAATTTAGCTACAGCACTATCAGACAGACATCTTGTATAGAAATTTTTGCCCAATGGCGTGTAGTTCAGCAATACAAACTCAAAAGTTATCAAACAGTGGTCGGACAAAGAGGGATTCTGTGGGAACACCACTAAATGTTCAATTTCAATACCATACACCAGAACAAGGTCGAGGGTGTGGTTAAAACAGTGAGTCGGTTCATGAACACTCTGAGAGAAGCCGATGGAATCTAACAGAGAGATAAACGCAGTACTAAAGCTGTCATTCTCAACGTCCACATGAATATTAAAATCCCCTACAATAATAACTTTGTCCGTTTTAAGGACTAAAGTTGACAAAAACTCTGCAAATTCAGATAAGAATTCAGAGTACGGGCCAGGTGCTCGGTACACTATAACGAAGAGAATTGGTTGCAGTGATTTCCAACTTGGGTGCGAAAGACTAAGAACAAGACTTTCAAATGAGTTATAGTTTAGTTTAGGTTTAGAGCTGATTAGTAGGCTAGAGTCGAAGATAGCTGCAACTCCACCTCCTCGGCCTGTGCCTCGAGGAATGTGAGTATTAATATGACTGGGAGGTGTGGATTCATTTAGGCTAACATATTCTCCATCACCCAGCCAGGTTTCAGTAAGACAAAATAAATCAATATCATAATCTGATATTAGTTCATTTACTAGTACACCTTTAGAAGAGAGAGATCTGATGTTTAAGAGTCCACATTTAATTTTCCTATTAGTTTGCACTATTGCTCTTGTGGTTTTAATTTTTATGAGGTTTTTATGTACAGCTCCTCTTCTGTTTACCTTTTTAAATAATTTCGATGGTCGGGGGGCAGACACCGTCACTATAGGGTTTTCACTAAGTAACTCCTGAAATGGAGGAGCAGAGAAGTGTGTTAGACTGCGACTCTGCGTAGGGTTTTGGGTGGGTAACTGCTGAATTAGAAGGGCAGAGAAGTGTGTTAGACTGAAGAAAAGATTAACTCTTCGCCATGACACATGAAGTTGTTGTAACTTTAGTGTACATGCTCACATCTGAACAAAACATTACGTGCTTGATAACTCTCCCACCCCGAAAACATCTACACACCAATATTCATTTATATTCATAGCGCCAAGTACTATGTAGCACCACAAAGGGGACACAGGAAGTGAGGTTTAACACCTTCATGCAGCGTCCAAACCGCATAGCAAATTCCAGAATATGCAACGCGGCCGCTTCACACCCCAACACGCTACACGTGCAAGGGCCCACCCAACGCTGCTTGTAGCTTTCATTTTTTTTCTTTTTTCTGCAAAGTAACCATAATTTTGAGGGCCTAAACATACTTGAAAACTCACCAAACTTTGTACATAATTCAGATGCAGCGAAAAATTTCTTATTTTATGTGTTTCATGCATGGGTGTAGAAAAATGGCTCGCTAGCCTCTTGGAGCCATTGCCTAAACCCAACAGGAAGTCGGCCATTTTGGATTTAATGGTCATTTTTGGCGATTTACACACTTTGTACTTTAACACACTGCTCCTAGGGAATTAGTCCGATCACTTCAAATTTTTGCTGTGCAGTTTAAACCCACTGACAAATAAAAGTTGTGCAAACGGTTATTACAAGTTGACCAGTTTTCCCGTGGTGATCTGTCAAAAATCGACGATTCACCATGAAACAGGAAGTTGTTATAACTGAACTGAAGAAGTTCTTTGGATGAGGGACGAAACGTCTTCCAGTATCTTCAACCAAGTCCAGTTGCCCTTGATTTTAACCTTCGTTGGATAAGTTGTTATAACTTCAGTTTACATGCTCACATATGCACCAAATTTGGAATACATTATAAGAGTCCCGCCCTGAACACATCCATATGCCAATATTCACTCAAAGTCATAGCGCCACCTGCTGGCAACAGGAAATGACACGTTTTACGCTGTAAAGTACTACTCCAAGCAGGTGGGACATATCAACTTCAAAACTGTCCCAGGAAACCCTTAACTGATTAGGCCATGCTGTAAAACTTGTGAATTTTCAGTTAACGGCTTGGCAGGGGTGTGGCCGACGAAGTGCCATGCTTCACCATGACACAGGAAGTTGTTGTAACTGTACATGCTCAGATTTGTATACACATTTAATAAAAGTCCCGCCCTGAACACATGTACATGCCAACATTCACCCATGGTCATAGCGCCACCTAGTGGCAACAGGAAATGACCTTCAACGAAGCAGCCCCCATGGCACGTTTCACCTACATGTATGAAATTTCTGTGGCACATGTATCATGTCCAGACTTACCAAAAAGCCTCTTGGAGCAATGCCCTAAACCCAAAAGGAAGTCACCATTTCTAATTTTCTGGTAATTTTTGGATGATTTACACACTCCGTACTTTAACGAACTCCTCCTAGGGATTAAGTCAGACCGACTTCGGATTTGTGCTGTGCGGTCTAAAGCCATTGATGATTAAAAGTTGTACAAACTGAGTTTTCGTGGAACGGCGTGTCCATGGCATGGCGTCCAAAATTGATGATTCGTCAGAAAACAGGAATTTGTTGTAACCTCAGTCTACATGCTCACATCTGTACCAAATGTGGGATGTAGTATAAAAGTCACAGCGCCACCTGCTGGCAACAGGAAATTACATGTTTTGTGCTGTAATGTACTACTCCTAGCAGGTTGGACATATCAACTTCAAAACTGTCCCAGAAAACCCATACCGCATTATGAAGCCATGTTGTAAAACTCATGACATTGCAGTTAACGGTGTGGCGGTGGCGTGGCGGCAAAGTTAAACTCTTCGCCATGATGCAGGAAGTTGTTGTAACTTGACTGTACATTCTAACATCTGTCCCAGAGTTTACATGTTTGATAACAGTCCTGCCCTTAACACATGTACAAGACAACATTCACCCATAGTCATAGCGCCACCTACTGGCAATAGGAAATGACCGATGCAGCCCCTGCGGCACGTTTTAAGTACAAAAATTTCTGTGGCACTCGTATCTTGTCCAGATGTAAAACAAAAAAGCGATGCCCTAAACACAACAGGAAGTCAACCATTTTGAATTTTATGGTTATTTTTGGATTTTTTACACACTCAATACTTTAACAAACTCCTCCTAGAGAATTAGTACGACCAACTTCAGATTTTCCCTGTCTACTCTAAAGCCATTGACGATTAAAAGTTGTACGAACGGTGGGCTTTCATGAAACGACGTGCCCGTGGCGTTGTTTAAACTTGAGTGTACATGCTCACATTCTCATCAAACTTTACGTGCTTGATAACAGTCCTGCCCCGAACACATCTACATGTTCAGTTATAGTCGTAGTGCAAAGTGCTATGTAGCGCCACAAAAGGGACACAGGAAGTGATGATTAACATTTTTGTGCAACGTACAAAGAACGTGGCAAATTCACAGCCACACTGGCAGAGCTCCTGAATCTGCAATGCGGCCGCCTCACACCTCGACGCGAAACACGTGCGAGGGCCCGCCCAATGCTGCTTGCAGCTTTAATTACTTACTGTTACCTTACTGCTGCCATGACAAAATGTATGATAAAAAGTAGTCAACATGAGTAGAAACTCACAGAGCCGGGAGTGAAGGGTTGACTGCAGCCTCCACAGAACTGATGCTGACACTGACTGCAGGTGAAGTGAAGACAACCTCCTCTACACAGACTGAAGACACACTGACAGTTTGGACACTCTGAGGAGAAGCACAGCAGAATCTAATTAGAACACATTAAAGACGACTGGCCTCTCCCCTACTGTCTCTCTCTCCATCGAGTTCTGTCTCACTTCACACAGGATTTGGGTAATCAGAACTACAGATCAACAGGATCCCGAAATAACTACGCTACATCCTGACGCTGAATTAACAACCACTTTGATGCTGAAATAATGACATGCTGACCCTGAAATAACTACATCATAACTACATCATGAAGCTGAAAAATCTATATCACGATGCTGAAATAACTACATCCTGATGCTGAAATAACTACATCCTGAGGCCGAAATAACTACATCATAACTACATCATGAAGCTGAAAAACCTACATCACGATGCTGAAGTAACTACATCCTGACCCTGAAATAACTACATCATAACTGAAAGTTGAAAAACCTACATCATGATGCTGAAATAACTACATCCTGATGCTGATATAAATATATCATATCTACATCATGAAGCTGAAAAACCTACATCACAATGCTGAAATAACTACATCATAACTGAAAGTTGAAAAACCTACATCTCGATGCTGAAATAACTACATCATGAAGCTGAAAAACCTACATCACGATGCTGAAATAACTACATCCTGACCCAGAAATAACTACATCATAACTACATCATGAAGCTAAAATACCTACATCACGATGCTGAAATAACTACATCCTGACGCAGAAATAACTACATCATAACTACATCATGAAGCTGAAAAACCTACATCACAATGCTGAAATAACTACATCCTGACACAGAAATAACTACATCATAACTACATCATAACTATAATAATAATAATAATTCTTATTTGTAGAGCACTTTTCAAAAACAAGTTACAAAGTGCTTTAACAAGTGTAAAGAATAATACAAAAAAAAACAAGATAAGAGCATGAAAAATTAATATAAAATTAGTAAAATACAATAAAATAAAAGGGATAAAATAAAGTCAAATAAGATCGGGAAAGGCTCTCCTATAAAAGTATGTTTTAAGAAGGGACTTAAAAGAGTTCACTGACTCAGCCGACCTGATTTCCTCGGGCAGGCTGTTCCAGAGCCTCGGGGCCCTGACAGCAAACGCTCTGTCCCCTTTAGTTTTCAGTCGAGACTCTGGAACAGACAACAGACCTCTGCCCGAGGATCTCAAGGTACGTGCTGGTGCGTAACTACATCATGAAGCTGAAATACCTACATCACAATGCTGAAATAACTACATCCTGACCCAGAAATAACTACATCATGAAGCTGAAAAACCTACATCACGATGCTGAAATAACTACATCCTGACCCAGAAATAACTACATCATGAAGCTGAAAAACCTACATCACGATGCTGAAATAACTACATCCTGACCCTGAAATAACTACATCATGAAGCTGAAATACCTACATCATAATGCTGAAATAACTACATCCTGACCCAGAAATAACTACATCATGAAGCTGAAATACCTACATCACAATGCTGAAATAACTACATCCTGACCCAGAAATAACTACATCATGAAGCTGAAATACCTACATCACAATGCTGAAATAACTACATCCTAACGCAGAAATAACTGCATCATAGCTACATCATGAAGCTGAAAAACCTACATCACGATGCTGAAATAACTAAATCCCGACACTGAAATAACTACATCCTGATGATGACATAACTACATCCTGATGCTGAAATAACTACATCACGATGCTGAAATAACTACATCCTGACGCAGAAATAACTACATCATAACTACATCATGAAGCTGAAAAACCTACATCACGATGCTGAAATAACTACATCCTGACCCTGAAATAACTACATCATAAAGCTGAAATACCTACATCATGATGCTGAAATAACTACATCCTGACACAGAAATAACTACATCATGAAGCTGAAATACCTACATCCTGACGCAGAAATAACTACATCCTGACGCAGAAATAACTACATCATAACTACATCATGAAGCTGAAATACCTACATCACGATGCTGAAATAACTACATCCTGACGCAGAAATAACTACATCATAACTACATCATGAAGCTGAAAAACCTACATCACAATGCTGAAATAACTACATCCTGACACAGAAATAACTACATCATAACTACATCATAACTATAATAATAATAATAATTCTTATTTGTAGAGCACTTTTCAAAAACAAGTTACAAAGTGCTTTAACAAGTGTAAAGAATAATACAAAAAAAAACAACATAAGAGCATGAAAAATTAATATAAAATTAGTAAAATACAATAAAATAAAAGGGATAAAATAAAGTCAAATAAGATCGGGAAAGGCTCTCCTATAAAAGTATGTTTTAAGAAGGGACTTAAAAGAGTTCACTGACTCAGCCGACCTGATTTCCTCGGGCAGGCTGTTCCAGAGCCTCGGGGCCCTGACAGCAAACGCTCTGTCCCCTTTAGTTTTCAGTCGAGACTCTGGAACAGACAACAGACCTCTGCCCGAGGATCTCAAGGTACGTGCTGGTGCGTAACTACATCATGAAGCTGAAATACCTACATCACAATGCTGAAATAACTACATCCTGACCCAGAAATAACTACATCATGAAGCTGAAAAACCTACATCACGATGCTGAAATAACTACATCCTGACCCAGAAATAACTACATCATGAAGCTGAAATACCTACATCACAATGCTGAAATAACTACATCCTAACGCAGAAATAACTGCATCATAGCTACATCATGAAGCTGAAAAACCTACATCACGATGCTGAAATAACTAAATCCCGACACTGAAATAACTACATCCTGATGATGACATAACTACATCCTGATGCTGAAATAACTACATCACGATGCTGAAATAACTACATCCTGACGCAGAAATAACTACATCATAACTACATCATGAAGCTGAAAAACCTACATCACGATGCTGAAATAACTACATCCTGACCCTGAAATAACTACATCATGAAGCTGAAATACCTACATCATGATGCTGAAATAACTACATCCTGACACAGAAATAACTACATCATGAAGCTGAAATACCTACATCCTGACGCAGAAATAACTACATCCTGACGCAGAAATAACTACATCATAACTACATCATGAAGCTGAAATACCTACATCACGATGCTGAAGTAACTACATCCTGACCCTGAAATAACTACATCATAACTGAAAGTTGAAAAACCTACATCCTGATGCTGAAATAACTACATCCTGACGCTGAAATAACTACATCCTGACGCCGATATAAATATATCATAACTACATCATGAAGCTGAAAAACCTATATCACAATGCTGAAATAACTACATCATAACTGAAAGTTGAAAAACCTACATCACGATGCTGAAATAACTACATCATGAAGCTGAAATACCTACATCACGATGCTGAAATAACTACATCCTGACGCAGAAATAACTACATCATAACTACATCATGAAGCTAAAATACCTACATCACAATGCTGAAATAACTACATCCTGACGCAGAAATAACTACATCATAACTACATCATGAAGCTGAAAAACGTACATCACGATGCTGAAATAACTACATCCTGACGCAGAAATAACTACATCATGAAGCTGAAAAACCTACATCACGATGCTGAAATAACTACATTACGGAACTGAAATAATTACATCACGACGCTGAAATAACCCCCCTTCTCCCCCATCTACTGTTAGTATTGTGTAAATTCATAGTAATCTTTCAGTTTTTTCAGACAAAGTTTAGTTTGCTTTGGGTTACTCTGAAGTGTTCCTCACATACTGCACAGGAAGTAGCTCAGCAACCTGTAGTAAAATGACTGCACAGTGGCCAGCAGAGGGCGGTGCCTCCCTGCTAATGGATGAACAGGGTGAACAAGAGTATCTTTATGCTATTAATTTTATGATCCCATGCAGTGGCTCACTACTTCAGTGAGTCCAGCACACATACAGCCCTCACTAAACACACACCAGCTAACAGTGACTACAGGCAGCAGAGGCCCTTTCCCACCCTGTTCCAGGTCCTGGTGTTAGGAGGACCCCCTTTCAGGTCCTGGTGGTGTGTTCGTACCGATGCTGTTGTAGCTGAGCAGGGAGGTGTTGTGGTGGTCTGGCTGGTTCTGCTGCTGCCAGACTCTGAACTGGTCACAGGAGAGTCCCTGATGTTGGGGAGACCACTGCAGGAACAAACAGGCGGTTCTCAGGTTCATGTTACTGACAGTGTGACTGTGCGTAGAACCCGGTTCAGTCGGGTCCAGGAGACTCATGTAGTGTGTGTGTGTCTTACAGGTGATCTGCACTGACAGCAGGTACTCTTCTTACAGCTGGGGCAGTCCATCCTCAACCTGTCGGCTTCATGAAGCATGCCGAACGAACACTGAAACACAGGTGGAGACAAGTGGAGACAGGTTAGGGTCAGACAGGTGTGCTGAGCAGCAGAATCACTGCGGGGGGCCCGGTTCACACCTGGTATCAACATGCGATCTGTATCCAGTCAGTGGGTCTCTGCACTCACACCTGGTGTGAAAACTGAGCAGGTCTCAGGTGAAGCAGACCAACAGATGTGATGCTCTTCTTGAGGTGACGCTGTACAGGTGTCATTTACAACTGCTGAGATCTGATCACGTTACCAAGACCACCTCCAAATGGGGACTGACTGAACCCATTCTGGTCCCAATGTCTTCTGCTGCATTTACGCCTCCATTAACATGTTGTCCCTGATCCAGATCACATGTTAATACCAGGCTTCTGAGGTCCTGATCCAGTCTCTTACATGAGCACACCAGCTGAAGTTGGGCATCTCCTGCAGAGCCCGGTCTCTGAGTTTCCTCTGGAAGAGTTCGTGGATCTGAGGAGGCAGGAAGTGACGGATCTGCACGCAAACAACAGATTCTCTGAGCCAAAGATACAGAACCAGGACACAAAGACATGACGGTATTTCTTCAGCCATGGTCGCCAGCTAGCAGTCGCTGCAGCAGCCCCCCGTTAAACAGGCTGCAGTGACTGACTCGTCCTCACGCAGAGATTAGTAATAGCCACTAGCTGTTAACATGCTAACTGCAGGAGGAGCTAGAGCTCCTTAGCTAAATGACAGCTAACGTTAGCATGCTAATATCTGAAGAGTGAAGGTGGTCACACGGAGCGCGCTCCACACTCTGCCCTGAAACTTGAAGCTGTTTAATAAATTATAATTATTTTATTTTGGTGGAATAAAATTTAACAGCTCAAACTACAAAACAAGAAAATGAAACTGTCAGTTTATCAAATATTTACCCGCTCACATGAACACAGACCTATAAGTGAACGCAGATAAAACAGTGAACTTTAATAAACAGTGAAGCTCTTATTGTGAAAGTTACATTACAGCTCGTGACTTCCTGTTAGTCACTTGCTCTTCATTGGAGGGTTAAGTTTAGGGCGCCGCAGATTTACACGTTACTTCAGTCTGTAATGGCTGAGAGGATAGAGTTACTGAAAACTTTTGAAGAGCTGGTTCAACCCAGAGTCCTGATCCTGGATCAGTCAAACTGATCTGGGTCACATGTTACAGTGTGTCTGATATTTTAATTTGTTATTAGATTAGATATTAGATTTGTTTCTTCTGGCTGTGAGACACCCAAAGGTTTTAGGATTTCTGTGTTTATGGTTCAGGACGGTCCATATCAGGTTCAGAGATTATTGTGGGTAACAGCTCAGTTCTGGTCCAGTGAGAACTCGACCCTGCAGGAGAAAAAACATCCATTCATTTGTTTTATTTCAGGATCACTTTCACCACAATCCAAAAAATTCAGACACTTTGGAATTGTGTGGTTGAAAGCTGTTTGCCTTTCCGCCCCCGTGAGCAGCTGCTCACCTGCTCACCTGCCCTGAGTCAACGGCCACGCCACCTCTCACTTCACACAACCAGACCCCTGATCACATGGTTCAGCACAATCATTAATAAATAAATACAGCAAATCTGCATTATGGCTTCAACACTGGTTTCAAAATGTTTTCACTGCCATCTTTTATTTATTCGCAGCATTTACAGTAAGTGACTTCTGACGTCCTCACCTGTGTGTCCAGCAGGTTGAAGTAGTCCATGGACTCCTCCATCCCTCCCTGACCTCTGACCTCAGGTCGGCCACACTGAGGACAAACCAGTTGATCGATACTTTTCTCTTTAATGGCTGACGAGAAAAACGTCTTAAAACACGTCTGACACAGAAAACAGGAGCAGTGAGTCATGGTGATGATCTACAGGAAATGCAGACAGAGAAGAAGAAGAAACAGGAGCAGTGAGTCATGAGGTGCGTTTGACTTCATGCAGCGCTGCGCAGCGCTGACTAAACATGATGCCTGCTGGACTTAAAATAAGGCATGCTGGTTAGAAATCGTGCCCAACTTTTGCCAGCGCTGCAAAACATCACCATGTCACATGAGGGCGATCGCAGCTACTTTTCTCCGGCTGCACAAAGATGGAACCACCATTTGCCTGATCTCGAGGTCAGTCGTTGTTCTCAGCTCACAGTGAGCTCACACAGGTAGAATGTGTCTGACTTTACGGCGCCATTTTTATACCCCGCCCCTGCAGTCGCCCTCAGCTCATGTTAGACCATCAAGTCGGTGAAAGTCAGCCGCAGTCAACTCCAACACACCTAGTGAGTCATGGTGATGATCTACAGGAAATACAGACCGAGAAGAAGAAACAGGCTGCCTGGTCTCTGATTGGTCACATGATGCATCTTTCACCTTGCTGAAGGACACCTGCTCTTGACAGATGGGGCAGCTGTAAGTCAGAAACTTGAGGGCTGATGGGAAATCTCTGTTGAGTTGGACAGCCTCCATCACATCAGTGGGGCTGAAGCTCCTCCCCTCCATGGTCATCAGAGACAGGAATATAGCGGCCTGGTTTGGAGGAAGACGAGCCGCCATCTGAAGGAGGAAGAGAGAGTTGATGGTTATGATACCAGCCCAGCGTGTCAGGAACTCAAGACAGCTGGTATCAAACACACGGGTTTGGACGCAGCTGTCTTGTCGTGGAAACAAGATCAAGACTGACTGGGGGTCAGGTCTCGGCCGGGTCTGAACAAGGCAAAACTGAGACCTGCCGAGACCCACTGAGACCCTGTTGTCCACCTCACCTTCATATGGTCCACTCCAGCTGCCGGTTGTGACGGAAGTCTCTGTGTACTGAGGCCCTGTTGCAGTCCAGCTGCTGGCCCAGATCCCGGAATCAGAACCACACATCCTGCCATATGTTTGCCTTTGGCAGCTTCTGATTGGACCGTACGCACAGGTGAGTCAGCCCGCTGGTCTCTGCTGGACTCCCTGTCGAGCCTCAGAGTTCCCATCATCCTGCTAAGAGGGTCTGTAGGGGGGACACCTGCAAAGACAAGACTATTAACAGTGTAAGAGACCAGAGGACCAACACTGGATTTCTGTGTTTGTACACAGTTAGTGTTTGTGTGAACATGGCGGCCTGGTTGGAGTCAAGTTCAGGGCCATAATTATTGTGCCAGTCTGCCCCTGGCTGAGGGAGTTTACATGGCTTACATTTAGCACAGACACCATGAACAGGATCTGCTGAACTAGATCCACAACATGCAGGTAATACATTACTGAGTCAGCTGGAACCGAACAGTTTAGATACGACAGCTGGAACCGAACAGTTTAAAGACAACAGCTGGAACTGAAAAGTTTAAACACGACAGCTGGAACCAAAAAGTTTAAATAGGACAGCTGGAACTGAACAAACACAACAGCTGGAACCGAAAAGTTAAAACACGACAGCTGGAACCGAACAGTTTAAACACGACAGCTGGAACAGTTCAAACGTGACAGCTGGAACCGAAAAGTTAAAACACGACAGCTGGAACCGAACAGTTTAAACACGACAGCTGGAACAGTTCAAACGTGACAGCTGGAACCGAAAAGTTAAAACGCGAAAGCTGGAACAGTTTAAAGACAACAGCTGGAACCGAACAGTTTAAACGTGACAGCTGGAACCGAACAGTTTAAACACGACAGCTGGAACAGTTCAAACGTGACAGCTGGAACCGAAAAGTTAAAACGCGAAAGCTGGAACAGTTTAAAGACAACAGCTGGAACCGAACAGTTTAAATATGACAGCTGGAACCGAACAGTTTAAACACGACAGCTGGAACAGTTCAAACGTGACAGCTGGAACCGAAAAGTTAAAACGCGAAAGCTGGAACAGTTCAAACGTGACAGCTGGAACCGAAAAGTTAAAACGCGAAAGCTGGAACAGTTTAAAGACAACAGCTGGAACCGAACAGTTTAAACGTGACAGCTGGAACCGAACAGTTTAAACACGACAGCTGGAACAGTTCAAACGTGACAGCTGGAACCGAAAAGTTAAAACACGACAGCTGGAACCGAACAGTTTAAACACGACAGCTGGAACAGTTCAAACGTGACAGCTGGAACCGAAAAGTTAAAACGCGAAAGCTGGAACAGTTTAAAGACAACAGCTGGAACCGAACAGTTTAAACGTGACAGCTGGAACCGAACAGTTTAAACACGACAGCTGGAACAGTTCAAACGTGACAGCTGGAACCGAAAAGTTAAAACACGACAGCTGGAACCGAACAGTTTAAACACGACAGCTGGAACAGTTCAAACGTGACAGCTGGAACCGAAAAGTTAAAACAGTTTAAATATGACAGATGGAACTGAAGAGTTTAAACACGACAGCTGGGAACCGAACAGTTTAAATATGACAGATGGAACTGAAGAGTTTATATGCACCAGCTCGAACCGAACAGTTTAAACGTGACAGCTGGAACCGAACAGTTTAAATACGACAGCTGGAACAGTTTAAACGTGACAGCTGGAACCGAACAGTTTAAATATGACAGATGGAACTGAAGAGTTTATATGCACCAGCTCGAACTGAACAGTTTAAATACGACAGCTGGAACAGTTTAAACGTGACAGCTGGACCGAACAGTTTAAACGTGACAGCTGGAACCGAACAGTTTAAACACGACAGCTGGGAACCGAACAGTTTAAACACGACAGCTGGGAACCGAACAGTTTAAACACGACAGCTGGGAACCGAACAGTTTAAATATGACAGATGGAACTGAAGAGTTTATATGCACCAGCTGGAACCGAACAGTTTAAACACGACAGCTGGAACAGTTCAAACGTGACAGCTGGAACCGAACAGTTTAAACACGACAGCTGGGAACCGAACAGTTTAAATATGACAGATGGAACTGAAGAGTTTATATGCACCAGCTCGAACTGAACAGTTTAAATACGACAGCTGGAACAGTTTAAACGTGACAGCTGGAACCGAACAGTTTAAACGTGACAGCTGGAACCGAACAGTTTAAACACGACAGCTGGGAACCGAACAGTTTAAACACGACAGCTGGGAACCGAACAGTTTAAACACGACAGCTGGGAACCGAACAGTTTAAATATGACAGATGGAACTGAAGAGTTTATATGCACCAGCTGGAACCGAACAGTTTAAACACGACAGCTGGAACAGTTCAAACGTGACAGCTGGAACCGAACAGTTTAAACACGACAGCTGGGAACCGAACAGTTTAAATATGACAGATGGAACTGAAGAGTTTATATGCACCAGCTGGAACCGAACAGTTTAAACACGACAGCTGGAACAGTTTAAACGTGACAGCTGGAACCGAACAGTTTAAACACGACAGCTGGGAACTGAACAGTTTAAATATGTCAGATGGAACTGAAGAGTTTATATGCACCAGCTGGAACTGAACAGTTTAAACACGACAGCTGGAACAGTTCAAACGTGACAGCTGGAACCGAACAGTTAAAACGCGAGAGCTGGAACAGTTTAGACACGACAGCTGGAACAGTTTAAACATAACAGCTGGAACTGAACAGTTTAAACAAAACAGATGGAACCGAACTGTTTAAACACGACAGCTGGGAACTGAACAGTTTAAATATGACAGATGGAACTGAAGAGTTTAAACACGACAGCTGGAACAGTTCAAACGTGACAGCTGGAACCGAACAGTTAAAACGCGAGAGCTGGAACAGTTTAGACACGACAGCTGGAACAGTTTAAACATAACAGCTGGAACTGAACAGTTTAAACAAAACAGATGGAACCGAACTGTTTAAACGCGAGAGCTGGAACAGTTTAAGCACAACAGCTAGAACTGAAGATGTTTAAACGTGACAGCTGGAATTGAACAGTCTCTCTCCCTCCCTTTTACCTCCCCAGGTGACGGAGCGAACATGCACAGTGTCGTGTGACCTGTGGCAGCACAGGTGCTTCCTGGTCTCACCTGAGGAGGAGGAGCAGCTCAGAAAGGGGTTGCTGTGGTTATTGGAGGAGGAAGATGAAGGAGGAGGAGCACTGAAGTCGATCCCCAGCAACTCCTCGGTATACGACCTCCTCACCCTCACCTCCCTGCTCTGCTCCCACTGGATGGCTGCAACAAAGGGGGAGGGGCTTCATCAGCTGACGTCATGCTAAAACACTAACAAAAGCACAACACGTAGCTGTGGAAGGAGTTTACCTTTTGGTCCAGACGGGTGAGAACAAGTGAGGGGGAGACGCTGGCTGAGCGGAGAGGAGGAGGTGCTACAAGAGGAGAAAACTTTTCATGTGTTCACTGAGATCAGGAGGTCAGACATCAGCTCACTTATCGATTATTACCTTCCAGCTGACTGTGACACCTGCACACCTGCAGGGGGCGGGGTTTGTACGGGACACCTGGCATAAAGGGGCGTATCCTTCTGGAAGGCCCGCCTCATCTCTGACACAAGCAGCAACAGGTTGGACCCACCCTGACAGGAAGTGACATAGACACCATGATCAACATTATTCTCATCCAGGAGGTCTGGATCCAGCTAACTACCCCTCCTTAAACTGCCTCCTGGTCCAGGAGGTCTGGATCCAGCTAACTACCCCTCCTTAAACTGCCTCCTGGTCCAGGAGGTCTAGATCCATCTAACTACCCTTCCAGAAGCTGCCTCCTGGTCCAGGAGGTCTGGAACCAGGTAAGTTACCCTTCCAGAAGCTGCCTCATGGTCCAGGAGGTCCGGATCCATCTAACTACCCTTCCAGAAGCTGCCTCATGGTCCAGGAGGTCCGGATCCATCTAACTACCCTTCCAGAAGCTGCCTCCTGGTCCAGGAGGTCTGGAACCAGGTAAGTTACCCTTCCAGAAGCTGCCTCATGGTCCAGGAGGTCCGGATCCATCTAACTACCCTTCCAGAAGCTGCCTCATGGTCCAGGAGGTCCGGATCCATCTAACTACCCTTCCAGAAGCTGCCTCCTGGTCCAGGAGGTCTGGAACCAGGTAAGTTACCCTTCCAGAAGCTGCCTCCTGGTCCAAGAAGTCCGGATCCATCTAACTACCCCTCCAGAAACTGCCTCCTGGTCCAGGAGGTCCGGATCCATCTAACTACCCCTCCAGATACTGCTTCCATGTCCAGGACCAGGTGTGGTCACAGATGCAAGAACTCAGGTGTGGGAGGAGTTCAGAGAGGTCAGGTGAGTGTGGAAGCGGGAGACTATAGACCAGGGGTCGGCAAATAAGTCCGGCATCGGGCCAAATTTTTTTCAAGCCATTATATGGCGGGCCAGAACAAAGTCAAATTATTTCAAATCCTTGTATACTCATGTGCATGTTTAGCTCAGTAGGTAGGCTACTGTGCAGGACTCCCGTTAGGAAGATTGGAAGATCAATTCCAATTCACTGCGTATATTTTTTCCCCCTTTTTACTTGATTATAAAGGACACTTTTGCACATGCTCACAATAAGGCATGTGCTGCAGTGTGTGTGCGCCCGGCGTTTGATCCGCATTTGTGGACGCTTATTTTCATTTCCCTGAGGAAATTCTGGTTGCAAACTACGGGGGAGCCAGACATCAGCTCCCCTAAAAACATGATTTGTGATGTTTTGGGCATGCTTTATTGACATTAATCTTATCATAGATCATGTGGAGCGTCAGACTTAATCCTGCCAAAGGAAACTGACCGACCGCAGCGGGCCAGTCGCTCTGCGATCTCCTGTCCCTGGTCCGCCCCACTCCCTTTCCGGTCCCGACAAGCTGTGAACGGTTCGTGACCGTTGGCTGGATGAATATTATGCATGATCCATGCACTACTGCAACTGGGGGCTCTCCGCAGCGCCACGCTACTTTCTACATTCTTCCCAGAGGTGTGTGAAGCACGCCAGAGACGCTTTTGAATGTCCTTCAGAAGCTTTCAATAAACTCAACATAAAGCATTGCTCCAATAAACGTTCTCGTGCTTTTTTTTGCCACAATCACTTAAGAGGAAGTGATTGTGTGAGTAACTGTATCTGTCATGACTGAGATCTATTTCAGCACCAGGTATCAATTTATTTATTTTTTATTTTTCTGCCATCAAAGCAATCTGGCCACGGGCCGCCTATTGTCGACCACTGCTATATACCCTGTCGTACGGTGGAGGAAGCCCTGAACCCAGCAACTGAGACCTCCTTAGAGGCAGAGCTGGACGGTTCAGGAGAAGACCAACCAGGAAAGTCCACTGAGCCCAGCTGCACGGTTTTGGTTCGTCCTCTGACACTTTTAGGTCGCTACTGGGACACTACTGGGACTTCAGGACTGAGTGGAATTCACGATCCTGCAGTTGAGGGAGATCACAGCTCTGCAGAGTCACCAGGTGAGGATGAGGTTCATCCCGAGAGTCTGACAGTCGGGGAATTATCTGCGTCTCCCTGTTTACATGAGCGGGCTTCATGCCCCGCCCTTTAACCACAGCTGCCTATAATCAGGACACGCCCGAATCAATATCATGGAGACAGCACATTCTCCCGTCACGCCTGTTTTTATAATATCATGTATTATTAGTTTTCTAAAGAGGCCCCAGGACCTCATGGGGCTGCTGTCTGACTCTTCAGGATCTTATGCAGGTGGGGGCCAGTTCCTGTGGACTGATGGACCCAGGTGGTGGTTAAGCTGCTGAAGGGAGAGACCGGCTGACTGTTGGACCACAGACTCAGGAGGACTGATGTGGATTCTCTCCTGGTCCCCGACCAGCTGTTTACTCCGGTTCTGAGGTCCCCATGCTGACATCCCCTAACCAGACTGAGCGCTCTCATTGGATCTTACCTGAGTCCAGTTCGCCAGTCCGTCCAGGCTGATGTTACCGGAGGCGTCCACGCATGGGCAGGAGGGGTTTATCACCATGGAGCCAGAAGGACAGACGTAACAGCGAGGCCGGGACACAGGGTGGGTCTCATGGAGCCAGATACACACTGGGATATTATACTCACTTCCTGTAGAGACAAACATGACATCACAGTCACCGAAACCAGATCAGACCAGCAGGGCGCTTCACCCCTGACTGGGTCAGTCGGTTAGCTCGGTTCCTATGGGCTGTCGAACTCTGTGTTGACCCAACGACTGAACCGGGTCGGTCTCGTGGTCTTAATCCGCCTGTGATGTGAAGCCAGCTGATAACTGACTAACTCTGTTAGCATTAGGGGGAGAACGCCTGACCGATCCGATCGAGGACGATGTCTGGAGCTCCGTTGCAGTTTAGAGATGTTATGAAGATTAAGTAAACACTATAAAGCTTGACGGTTCCTTTTACTCCCCTTGACTTAATGCGGCTGAGGAGGTGTGCATAAGTTATTTGTATGGTTTTATGTTCTTTTTATATTACTGGATAGGCTAACTACAGCTACTAGCCGAGTTTCACGTAATTATTTGAAAATTCAACTTGAGGGAAAAATGCACCAGATTCTGGTCTTAACTGAGCCATTTATTGGAGAATGGAGCTCAGACATAATTTATTTTATTACATTAACTTTTTAATTTTATTGTTTGGAATTAAAACGCGTGTTTACCTTCAATCGCGGTTCTCTGTCGGACAGAACACTGGATTCCAGCTCGTACTTTACTGTGAAAGAAGTAAGCATAGCATAGCATAGCATAGCATAGCATAGCATAGCATAGCATAGCGCTGCTCGAGCCAGCTGTAGTGAACCAGATTAAAGACTGTGGGTTCGTGCAGCTGTAGTGAACCAGATTAAAGACTGTGGGTTCGTGCAGCTGTAGTGAACCAGATTAAAGACTGTGGGTTCGTGCAGCTGTAGTGAACCGGATTAAAGACACTGGGTTCGTGCAGCTGTAGTGAACCGGATTAAAGACACTGGGTTCGTGCAGCTGTAGTGAACCGGATTAAAGACTGTGGTATCGTGCAGCTGTAGTGAACCGGATTAAAGACACTGGGTTCGTGCAGCTGTAGTGAACCGGATTAAAGACACTGGGTTCGTGCAGCTGTAGTGAACCGGATTAAAGACTGTGGGTTCGTGCAGCTGTAGTGAACCGGATTAAAGACACTGGGTTCGTGCAGCTGTAGTGAACCGGATTAAAGACACTGGGTTCGTGCAGCTGTAGTGAACCGGATTAAAGACACTGGGTTCGTGCAGCTGTAGTGAACCGGATTAAAGACTGTGGGTTCGTGCAGCTGTAGTGAACCGGATTAAAGACTGTGGGTTCGTGCAGCTGTAGTGAACCGGATTAAAGACTGTGGGTTCGTGCAGCTGTAGTGAACCGGATTAAAGACTGTGGGTTCGTGCAGCTGTAGTGAACCGGATTAAAGACTGTGGGTTCGTGCAGCTGTAGTGAACCGGATTAAAGACACTGGGTTCGTGCAGCTGTAGTGAACCAGATTAAAGACTGTGGTATCGTGCAGCTGTAGTGAACCGGATTAAAGACTGTGGGTTCGTGCAGCTGTAGTGAACCGGCTTAAAGACACTGGGTTCGTGCAGCTGTAGTGAACCGGATTAAAGACACTGGGTTCGTGCAGCTGTAGTGAACCGGATTAAAGACACTGGGTTCGTGCAGCTGTAGTGAACCGGATTAAAGACTGTGGGTTCGTGCAGCTGTAGTGAACCGGATTAAAGACTGTGGGTTCGTGCAGCTGTAGTGAACCGGATTAAAGACTGTGGGTTCGTGCAGCTGTAGTGAACCGGATTAAAGACTGTGGGTTCGTGCAGCTGTAGTGAACCGGATTAAAGACTGTGGTATCGTGCAGCTGTAGTGAACCGGATTAAAGACTGTGGGTTCGTGCAGCTGTAGTGAACCGGCTTAAAGACACTGGGTTCGTGCAGCTGTAGTGAACCGGATTAAAGACACTGGGTTCGTGCAGCTGTAGTGAACCGGATTAAAGACACTGGGTTCGTGCAGCTGTAGTGAACCGGATTAAAGACTGTGGGTTCGTGCAGCTGTAGTGAACCGGATTAAAGACTGTGGGTTCGTGCAGCTGTAGTGAACCGGATTAAAGACTGTGGGTTCGTGCAGCTGTAGTGAACCGGATTAAAGACTGTGGTTCGTGCAGCTGTAGTGAACCGGATTAAAGACTGTGGTATCGTGCAGCTGTAGTGAACCGGATTAAAGACTGTGGGTTCGTGCAGCTGTAGTGAACCGGATTAAAGACACTGGGTTCGTGCAGCTGTAGTGAACCAGATTGAAAGTGGGTAACAAACTGAGGATGAAGCAGATGAAGTGGTGGATCAGCTGGTTCCTTTTCAGGGTCTCTCACCTTCATAGTGAACAGGTACGGTCCCGGCCAGGTAAACCAGCTTCTTCTTCTCTTTGTTTGGAAAACCTGCCGCAGGAGACAACACCACACCCTCAGCTTTATTGATCACTGATCATCAATAACGTACCAGTGATGTTTAGGGTTAACATGTCTAACCTGCAAAGTCTTACATGAGATGCTTTTATTGTGAAAGACAGACAGGAAGTGCTGAACTCACAGTAAAAATCCACATGGAGGCGCAGATCAGAGAAGGAGGAGCGTAGCCTCTTCACATCACTCAGGACCTCCACAGGGTAACTGTACTGACACTGGGGGGGAGGAAGGTAGAAGGAGCAGAGGAGCAGGAGGAGAGGGGGAAAGAAGGGGGAGAGGGGGAGGATGACGAGGAGAGGAGGAAAGAAGGGGAGAGGGGGAGGATGACGCGGAGGGAGAGGAAGGTAGAAGGAGCAGAGGGGGAGGATGACGAGGAGGGGAGGAAGTTAGAAGGAGCAGAGGAGCAGGAGGAGGGGAGAAAAGTAGGGGGAGAGGGGGAGGATGACGAGGAGGGAGAAGAAGGTAGAAGGAGCAGAGGAGCAGGAGGAGAGGGGGAAAGAAGGGGGAGAGGGGGAGGATGATGAGGAGGGGAGGAAAGAAGGGGCAGAGGGGGAGGATGACAAGGAGAGGAGGAAAGAAGGGGGAGAGGGGGAGGATGACGAAGAGGGGAGGAAAGAAGGGGGAGAGGGGGAGGATGACGATGAGGGGAGGAAAGTAGGGGGAGAGGGGGAGGATGACGCGGAGGGAGAAGAAGGTAGAAGGAGCAGAGGAGCAGGAGGAGGGGAGAAAAGTAGGGGGAGAGGGGGAGGATGACGAGGAGGGAGAAGAAGGTAGAAGGAGCAGAGGAGCAGGAGGAGAGGGGGAAAGAAGGGGGAGAGGGGGAGGATGAGAGGAGGGGGGAGGAAAGAAGGGGCAGAGGGGGAGGATGACAAGGAGAGGAGGAAAGAAGGGGGAGAGGGGGAGGATGACAAGGAGGGAGAGGAAGGTAGAAGGAGCAGAGGAGCAGGAGGAGGGGAGAAAAGTAGGGGGAGAGGGGGAGGATGACGAGGAGGGAGAAGAAGGTAGAAGGAGCAGAGGAGCAGGAGGAGAGGGGGAAAGAAGGGGGAGAGGGGGAGGAGGGGAGGAGGGGAGGAAAGAAGGGGCAGAGGGGAAGGATGACGAAGAGGGGAGGAAAGAAGGGGGAGAGGGGGAGGATGAGAGGGAGAGGAGGAAAGAAGGGGGAGAGGGGGAGGATGACGATGAGGGGAGGAAAGTAGGGGGAGAGGGGGAGGATGACGCGGAGGGAGAGGAAGGTAGAAGGAGCAGAGGGGGAGGATGACGAGGAGGGGAGGAAAGAAGGGGCAGAGGGGGAGGATGAGAGGGAGAGGAGGAAAGAAGGGGGAGAGGGGGAGGATGACAAGGAGGGGAGGAAAGAAGGGGCAGAGGGGGAGGATGAGAGGGAGAGGAGGAAAGAAGGGGGAGAGGGGGAGGATGACAAGGAGGGGAGGAAAGAAGGGGCAGAGGGGGAGGATGAGAGGGAGAGGAGGAAAGAAGGGGGAGAGGGGGAGGATGACGAGGAGGGGAGGAAGTTAGAAGGAGCAGAGGAGCAGGAGGAGGGGAGGAAAGTAGGGGGAGAGGGGGAGGATGACGAGGAGGGAGAAGAAGGTAGAAGGAGCAGAGGAGCAGGAGGAGGGGAGGAAAGAAGGAGAGAGGGGGAGGATGACGAGGAGGGGAGGAAGGTAGAAGGAGCAGAGGAGCAGGAGGAGGGGAGGAAAGTAGGGGGAGAGGGGGAGGATGACGAGGAGGGGAGGAAGGTAGAAGGAGCAGAGGAGCAGGAGGAGGGGAGGAAAGTAGGGGGAGAGGGGGAGGATGACGAGGAGGGAGAAGAAGGTAGAAGGAGCAGAGGAGCAGGAGGAGGGGAGGGAAAGAAGGAGAGAGGGGGAGGATGACGAGGAGGGGAGGAAGGTAGAAGGAGCAGAGGAGCAGGAGGAGGGGAGGAAAGAAGGAGAGAGGGGGAGGATGACGAGGAGGGGAGGAAGGTAGAAGGAGCAGAGGAGCAGGAGGAGGGGAGGAAAGTAGGGGGAGAGGGGGAGGATGACGAGGAGGGAGAAGAAGGTAGAAGGAGCAGAGGAGCAGGAGGAGGGGAGGAAAGAAGGAGAGAGGGGGAGGATGACGAGGAGGGGAGGAAGGTAGAAGGAGCAGAGGAGCAGGGGAGGGGAGAAAAGTAGGGGGAGAGGGGGAGGATGACGAGGAGGGAGAAGAAGGTAGAAGGAGCAGAGGAGCAGGAGGAGGGAGGAAAGAAGGAGAGAGGGGAGGATGACGAGGAGGGGAGGAAGGTAGAAGGAGCAGAGGAGCAGGAGGAGGGGAGAAAAGTAGGGGGAGAGGGGGAGGATGACGAGGAGGGAGAAGAAGGTAGAAGGAGCAGAGGAGCAGGAGGAGGGGAGGAAAGAAGGAGAGAGGGGGAGGATGACGAGGAGGGGAGGAAGGTAGAAGGAGCAGAGGAGCAGGAGGAGGGGAGGAAAGAAGGAGAGAGGGGGAGGATGACGAGGAGGGGAGGAAGGTAGAAGGAGCAGAGGAGCAGGAGGAGGGGAGGAAGTAGGGGGAGAGGGGGAGGATGACGAGGAGGGGAGGAAGGTAGAAGGAGCAGAGGAGCAGGAGGAGGGGAGGAAAGTAGGGGGAGAGGGGGAGGATGACGAGGAGGGAGAAGAAGGTAGAAGGAGCAGAGGAGCAGGAGGAGGGGAGGAAAGAAGGAGAGAGGGGGAGGATGCGAGGAGGGGAGGAAGGTAGAAGGAGCAGAGGAGCAGGAGGAGGGGAGAAAAGTAGGGGGAGAGGGGGAGGATGACGAGGAGGGAGAAGAAGGTAGAAGGAGCAGAGGAGCAGGAGGAGGGGAGGAAAGAAGGAGAGAGGGGGAGGATGACGAGGAGGGGAGGAAGGTAGAAGGAGCAGAGGAGCAGGAGGAGGGGAGGAAAGTAGGGGGAGAGGGGGAGGATGACGAGGAGGGGAGGAAGGTAGAAGGAGCAGAGGAGCAGGAGGAGGGAGGAAAGTAGGGGGAGAGGGGGAGGATGACGAGGAGGGAGAAGAAGGTAGAAGGAGCAGAGGAGCAGGAGGAGGGGAGGAAAGAAGGAGAGAGGGGGAGGATGACGAGGAGGGGAGGAAGGTAGAAGGAGCAGAGGAGCAGGAGGAGGGGAGGAAAGAAGGAGAGAGGGGGAGGATGACGAGGAGGGAGAAGAAGGTAGAAGGAGCAGAGGAGCAGGAGGAGGGGAGGAAAGAAGGAGAGAGGGGAGGACGGGAGGGGGAGCAGGAGGAGGGGAGGAAAGAAGGAGAGAGGGGGAGGATGACGAGGAGGGAGAAGAAGGTAGAAGGAGCAGAGGAGCAGGAGGAGGGGAGGAAAGAAGGAGAGAGGGGAGGACGGGAGGGGGAGCAGGAGGAGGGGAGGAAAGAAGGAGAGAGGGGGAGGATGACGAGGAGGGAGAAGAAGGTAGAAGGAGCAGAGGAGCAGGAGGAGGGGAGGAAAGAAGGAGAGAGGGGAGGACGGGAGGGGGAGCAGGAGGAGGGGAGGAAAGAAGGAGAGAGGGGGAGGATGACGAGGAGGGAGAAGAAGGTAGAAGGAGCAGAGGAGCAGGAGGAGGGGAGGAAAGAAGGAGAGAGGGGAGGACGGGAGGGGGAGCAGGAGATGAGTAATGGGAGGAGATGATTACTTGTTGTTGTTAGCATGTAGCTTCCTAAGCTAACACTTCTGAACGTAGCCGTTAGCTTCGCGCTAGCCGCTCGGCAGCGCGTGAGCCGCTAACTAGTTTTAAACTAATAAAGTTTGATGTTGAATGGAAGTGGAAGGTTCTGATTGGTCCGCACCTCCGTCAGAGTCCGCAGCTCCTCCTCAGCTCCGACTCTCGGCATTTTATCAGGAACTCATCAGCTGCCGGCAGCTAGCAGCTAGCAGCTAGCAGGCTAACAGCTTCAGGTCAACATGACACACCCTCTTCCGCGTCTAGGTTTTCAGATTAAAAGCACAGATACGAAAGGCTACATTTTAATTAGCGCAGAAAAACAGCTGTTTCCGGTCATTCTCAGAGAATCGAACTGGTTTTGACAAGCGAAGAAGAAGTTTAGTATCTACAGCGGTTTCTCTGGAACTGATCCTTTCACAAACTAACTTCTTCAGGTGAAACCAGACCACGGACTGGTCCTGGACTGCAGACGGATCCTTTCCTACCTTTTCTGTCAAGGTGGACTCACGAGGACTCGGAGGACTCTAACAAAACTTTATTTAGAAACCCTGGAAAATAAATACAGAGAACGTCCAACACACAGTTCATCAGGAAATAAATCAATAAAAACAGAAATGTTGAAATTAATGATATAACTGGCAAAAAACAGACATTACAGAGTTCAGCCATTTAAATAATGATCCAATAAAAATAAGGAACTGAGCTCGAGACACAGGGCCTAGCATTAGCTTAGCATTAGCCTTTGGAAATTTGATTCAATGCCAAAACCAACACAGATATTTCAGGATTATATATCATTTTATTTATATGTATATTTATGTAAGTGTCACTGATCACATGTGGCTGCAAAGGGAAGGAACCATGTGACCTCCTGCAGCAGGCGAGCAGGAAGTGCCTCCGATGTTTTAACGCTCAGCAGATTTTATTTCACCAACATTTAACTCAAACTCCCAGCAGCCCCCGCTGTCTCAGATGGGCGTGGCCCTCCACTCTTTGCCCTCGGTCAGGGCTCTGGGTTGGTGGATGAACACGCTGTATTGGACGCCCTGATTGGCCGCCGCCCTGATGAACCGGCTGTTCGCGGTCATGGTCACGGCTCTCAGCGAGTCTCCGGTACCGAAGATCATGAGCGAGCGGCGGTTGACTTTGGCGCTTGGCGTGAGGTGCAGCGTGCGCTCCGAAGGCTGGTCGTCCACCACGCGGAGGCGGGCGAGCAGCTTCTGAGCGCGCTCCTTCTCGCCCGGCCCCCCCAGCGTGTCCAGAATCACCTGGAAGTCGTGGACGGCGGCGCGGCAGGCGAACAGCTCCTTCCCCTGCATGAAGGCGTCGAGCTGCGGGAGCACCTGCAGCCGGCGCTCCTGGGCCGCCTGCTCCGTCAGCACCGGCTCCCTGAAGGTGAGGTGACAGCGCCCGTGACTCAGCGATGACACGTACGTGATGAGCGTGGTGATGTCGAGGTTAACCCGCCGACACTCCTCCACCTGCACCTGAGCAGGGAACGCCAGGCTGGCCACCACCGTGCCGCGGTCCACCCGGGTCACCTCCTCCTCGTTATCTTCGACCGGCTCCTCCTCGTCGTCCTCCTCCTGCTCCTCCTCCTCTTCTGCTCCCTCCTCCGTCTCCATGGCGTTGACGGCGACGATGTCCCCGCGGACGGAGACGCCCATGTCCCTCAGGCGGTCGGCCATGGGGCAGGAGACGCCGTTGTAGAAGGCGAAGACGATGTGGGGGTGTCGGTACTGGACCAGGTGCTGGCGGCCGGCCTGCAGGAAGTCTTCGGCCTGCCTGATGATGCTCTTGTCTCCGTACTGGCCCCGCCCCTGCCAGATGTTGTGCAGAGCCTCCGCCTTCCTGCCCACCGCCTTCACCCAGGTGTGTCCCCCATTGGCCACCACGTCCACCACCAGCGTCTGCCGGCCTCCGGCGGCGTCCTGGTAGGTGAAGACGTGCAGCAGAGCGACCACGCCCTCCAGGCTCTGGGCCGACTCCACGATGGCCGTCAGGTGAGTCAGGTTGGTGCTGTGCAGGTGAGACTCTTTGACCTGCAGCTCTCCGGCCTCCACCCGCCGCAGGAAGCGCAGCTCCGCTCGCAGTTTCCCACAGAGCTTCTGGTGACCCTCCACGCCGGGACAGAGCGTCTCCGCCCGCTGCAGCAACATCTGGGCGGAGACGATTCTCTGCTGCAACGTCACCTGCAGAGACATGTCGCTACATCCCACCTGAGGAGGACAGACAGAGAGAGAGAGAGAGACAGTGATGAGCAGGTCCTCGTCCTTACAGGACTCTGCAGAGACCTGAATGAAACATCTGGTCCTGAACCAATCGTTGCTCACAGAAACCACCAACAGTTGGGAGCCGCTACAGCTGTGTTGTTGAGGAAAAGCTCTGAAGGGAACCACACCGACAGAGAGGTCCGGAGCTGCTCGAGTGTGGAACCACCAGAAAGGAACGTAGAACCATGTCCAACGGGTACATAAAGGCAGAGCCTCCATTTTAATGGGGCGGAGCTAGAAAGGCCCGTGATAGGCTCTAAAACGCAGGAGGTGACACGTTACTTTAGAACTTTTTATTCTTCGTTCAGCAGCCTGGCGTTTCCTTACCGAACTCATTTTAAACAGGAAGGCTGTATTTAATGAGCCGGAACCCAGATCAAATATAAGACCCGGTCCGGCCCAGCAGGTCGGCCTGGTCCTTTAGTTTCCAGCAGTGGAAGACGTGGCTGCAGGTTCAAACCCGCTCTAAAGTCTGAGTTACATCTTTAATTAAATACGGATCGCTGATCAGTTTCTACAGACTGAACAGGAAGCTCACACTGAGTGTTTCAGTGCAGCGGTCGCTAGTTAAAGGTAGAGAGATCTGATTCTGGCCACACATCGACGGCAGACTGATCATGAAGCCTCAGGCTCCGCAGGAGGACTTTATCTGATCTCGCTCTCTGAAACAGAAACCCAGACGTTCCCTCGTCTCAGGCTCAACATACTCAGAGTTTCAGTGTCCCACTTTCTGAAACGGGGCCCTGAACAGAGACTGAATTTCTCTCTGCTGTCAGAGACACCGAGTGGGGCAGCTTCTTACCAGGTTCAGACTCCGAGACCCTGAAACAGGAGACGGATCCTGGTTAACTGAACAAGGTCTGTGAGACCTGTGCCTGCAGTGCAGGTGGACCTGGAGCCCTGTAGTAGTTTTAGGAGAACAATCTGGACTTTCACTCACTTGGATCACTACTTGACTATTTCTTTCTTTATTTCCGGCAGTCAGGCCTCCACATGACTCAGAGCAGGATGACTCTGCAGGACGGCAGCTAACAGCGGAGACTACAGATCAGAATCTGGAGCAGACTTCCTGAAAGTGTGAGAGTCAGAGTCTTTACTCAGTTCTGGTCCTAACAGACCGGAGTATTACTGCAGTATTCTGGGAGCCCGCCTGATGGGTACTGATGGGTACTGATGGGTACTCCCTGGGAATACTGTCCAGGTGTCCATGTGGCAGGATCAGGATCCAGGTGTGTTCTTTGCCTGAGGACTTCCTCTCTGCTCAGCTCAGATACTGAGTTTGATGAACACTTAATTTTACTTGGAGTACCGGAACTTTTACTGCACTAGTTTTCTGTCCTAACCGTCGTTATGTTTGATGCGGTCCCCTCCCTAAGTCTTGGAACGGTGAGGCCACTTCCTGTTGTTGTTTGGGTTTAAGATCAAAAGATGAGACCAGAGTTCAGAATGTCGGCTTTTATTTCCTGGTGTTGACGTCTAGACGTGTTAAAGAGCTCAGGACAGAGTGTCCTCTGTATCTGAGGTCCGCAGCACTGCTGGAACATGTGAGTGACAGCTGTTTCATGACTGTCCCAACATTTAAGAGCTCTGCATGGTTCAAACCATTAAAGACTGCATTTCCTGTTAAAGAGGATAAACCAGCATGAAGACCAGAGAGCCGTCTGTGGGAGAAAACCAGGAAAATGGAGCAGAGCCGTCGGACAAACACTGAACAGAGCAAGCACAACAATGTGGAACGTCCTGAAAAAGAAAGACACTGCAGGTGTACTGAGCAACAGACGTCCAACAGGTCGGCCAAGGAAAACAACAGCAGCTGATGACGGAAATATGGTGAGAGCTGTGAAGAAAACCTCCAGAAATCTAGAGGCCGCCCAACAAGATGCAAACCACTCATCAGCAGGAAGAATCGCAAGGCCAGACTGAAATTTACAAAGAAGTACAAAAGTCCTGATGGACCATCAGATCGCACAGAAGTCCATCAGGACTGATGAGCCCAAGATTAATCTCTAGCAAAGTGATGGAAAGACCAAAGTGTGGAGAAAGAAAGGAAGTGCCGATGATCGGAAGCGTACGAGCTCATCTGTGAAGCCTGCTGGAGGTGAAGTCACGGCGGCTCCTGGATCAGGCGCAGTAATATTTACTGATGAATGAATTCAGAAGAGGACAGAAACATTTACAGAGAAATGCACTGAAACTAATGGGCAGGAAGTTTAGACCCAAAGCACACTGCCAACAAAACAAAGGACTGTGGAAGGTTTCAGACTGGCCAAGTCCATCAGCTGACCTTAACCCAGCATGCATTTCACCTCCGTAAGAGGAGACTGAAGGGAGGAACAGCCCGAAACAAACAGGAAGTGACAGAAGCTGCGGTAAAAGCCTGGAACAGCATCACAGATGAAGAACGCAGCAGTTTGGTGATGTGGATGGTCGCAGACTTCAGGCAGAACCAAATCTTAAATGTTGCTTATTTGTTCCAGCAGTGCTGCGGACCTCAGATACAGAGGACGCTCTGTCCTGAGCTCTTTAACACGTCTAGACGTCAACACCAGGAAATAAAAGCCGACATTCTGAACTCTTAAACCCAAACAACAACAGGAAGTGGCCTCACCGTTCCAAGACTTAGGGAGGGGACCGCAGGTTTAAGAGCAGCCTGAGGACAGACAGACAGGACCAGGACCTGGACCTGGACCTGGCAGAGCAGCCTGAGGACAGACAGACAGACAGACAGGACCTGGACCTGGACCTGGACCTGGCAGAGCAGCCTGAGGACAGACAGACAGACAGACAGGACCTGGACCTGGCAGAGCAGCCTGAGGACAGACAGACAGACAGGACCTGGACCTGGACCTGGACCTGGACCTGGACCTGGCAGAGCAGCCTGCGGACAGACAGACAGACAGACAGGACCTGGACCTGGCAGAGCAGCCTGAGGACAGACAGACAGACAGACAGGACCTGGACCTGGCAGAGCAGCCTGCGGACAGACAGACAGACAGACAGGACCTGGACCTGGCAGAGCAGCCTGAGGACAGACAGACAGACAGGACCTGGACCTGGACCTGGCAGAGCAGCCTGAGGACAGACAGACAGACAGGACCTGGACCTGGCAGAGCAGCCTGACGACAGACAGACAGACAGGACCTGGACCTGGACCTGGCAGAGCAGCCTGAGGACAGACAGACAGACAGGACCTGGACCTGGACCTGGCAGAGCAGCCTGACGACAGACAGACAGACAGGACCTGGACCTGGACCTGGCAGAGCAGCCTGAGGACAGACAGACAGACAGGACCTGGACCTGGCAGAGCAGCCTGACGACAGACAGACAGACAGGACCTGGACCTGGACCTGGCAGAGCAGCCTGAGGACAGACAGACAGGACCAGGACCTGGACCTGGACCTGGCAGAGCAGCCTGACGACAGACAGACAGACAGGACCTGGACCTGGACCTGGCAGAGCAGCCTGACGACAGACAGACAGACAGGACCTGGACCTGGCAGAGCAGCCTGACGACAGACAGACAGACAGGACCTGGACCTGGCAGAGCAGCCTGACGACAGACAGACAGACAGGACCTGGACCTGGCAGAGCAGCCTGACGACAGACAGACAGACAGGACCTGGACCTGGACCTGGCAGAGCAGCCTGACGACAGACAGACAGACAGGACCTGGACCTGGCAGAGCAGCCTGACGACAGACAGACAGACAGGACCTGGACCTGGCAGAGCAGCCTGAGGACAGACAGACAGACAGGACCTGGACCTGGACCTGGCAGAGCAGCCTGACGACAGACAGACAGACAGGACCTGGACCTGGACCTGGCAGAGCAGCCTGAGGACAGACAGACAGACAGGACCTGGACCTGGCAGAGCAGCCTGAGGACAGACAGACAGGACCAGGACCTGGACCTGGACCTGGCAGAGCAGCTTGACGACAGACAGACAGACAGACAGGACCTGGACCTGGACCTGGCAGAGCAGCCTGACGACAGACAGACAGACAGGACCTGGACCTGGACCTGGCAGAGCAGCCTGACGACAGACAGACAGACAGACAGGACCTGGACCTGGCAGAGCAGCCTGAGGACAGACAGACAGACAGGACCTGGACCTGGACCTGGCAGAGCAGCCTGACGACAGACAGACAGACAGACAGGACCTGGACCTGGACCTGGCAGAGCAGCCTGAGGACAGACAGACAGACAGGACCTGGACCTGGACCTGGCAGAGCAGCCTGACGACAGACAGACAGACAGGACCTGGACCTGGACCTGGCAGAGCAGCCTGAGGACAGACGGACAGACAGGACCTGGACCTGGACCAGGACCTGGCGTCAGTTTTTTTAATGGAGGCTGGTGGGACTTCAGTGAAAGTCTCGTGTCTCCGGTCCCCTCTATGACCCTGTCCATTAAACCTGCAGCTCGTTAGCTAGGATGCTAACTCTGATGCTAACTGTTTTCACTGTGGAACGTGACGTCAGCCAGCCAACAGTTAGCTTAGCCAGTTACAAGTTTATCGTGTCGTACTTCCGGTCTGTTTAAACAGATGAAACACTTTCAAACTTCCAGAAAACAAACATGACGTTGACTTACGGCAGCAGTGACGTGTGAACTTTACAAACCAGCTAACGCTAATGCTAATGCTAATGCTAACGCTGACGACCGTCGTCTTCTTCTTCTTCTTCTGCTCTGCTGGCAGGAGACCGCCGCCGGCTCCTCCTCCTCCTTCTTCTTCTATTCCGGATTTACGGCAGCTGGCCTTCCGGTTCATCTTCCCTCAGCTGCGTTTTTTTAAATCTTTACTACATCTCGCGACTACAGAAAGATATTCTTTAAACCAAATAAAGTTTTGATGTAATGTTTAAAAAATAAAGAGGTTCAAAATATATCTTCTTTTACAATCAATAAAAAAATATAATGTCTCTTTTCTGCAAAGTAAGAGTCGAACCAAAATCCACTGGTACAAACACAATCAGAAAACAAATGACAGCTTTTCCACAGCGTCTTTCATGAACCGTGAGATCAGCTGGTTCACAGGTTAAATCAAATGTAGAATTTTCTAGTGTTGTGATGACACAATATTGCTTGTTGATATTTCAAACAGACTTCCATTTAATATTTTCTATTCTGGAATTCCAGAAAAGCTTGGCAGGAGGAGTCTCCTTAGAAAATCATTGGAGCGTTTTTTATCTGTGAAGCAGACACCGTTTAACATAAGTTAAAGTACTGCATCGAAAACAACAGCGAATTCTTTAGGTTTAACTGGAATTCCGTAGAAGAGAACAAGAGTCCATTTTCATTTAGCAATTGTGTCACTGATGTTATATCATTTTTAACCCAGCTATTAAAAAATGAAGTTTTATTTTTAAATCTTTATTATTCCAAATTAAACATTTATGGGGTGAAAAGTTATGTTTGTAAATAATTAACCAGGACAAAAATGCTTGTTTATGATATTTGGATAGAGCAACAGGAATCTTATTTATGTCAAAATTGAATTGCAGGAGGAATTTCAAATATTCAATAAACTCTGGAATAAAGTACCATAGTTTATCCTTTCCTTGGATGTAATTTTTAATCCACTTGACCTTGAATATAGTGTTGGATGTATAAATATCTAATACATTTAGACCCCCTTCGCAATTTGTGTTACATAAAATCTTCTTTTTTAAATAATAGGGTTTATTTCTCCAGACAAAATTGAAAAGCAACGTGTCTATCTGTTGGACTAGTATCGGTGGGACATCTAGGACCAGCCTTGATAGTGCTTCACTTTTAGAGAACAATACACGTCCATTTAATGACAGATCTCTCAACAACCAACTATCCAATTTTTATTTTACTTTTTCAATCAGTGGATTGAAATTCAAATCCACCCTTCTGTCTTGACATATTTTAATACCCGGTTATGATACGATATCTTTTATAGGGATACCACATATGTCAACCAAGTAATTTCCCTTATTTTTTAAGGCAAAAAGCTCACATTTCTTTATATTTAAAGTTTGACCTGATACCGAAGAGAAAACATTAACACATTCATTAGCCTTTCTACTTCTTCTTCATTCTGTAAATAAATAGTTGTGTCATCTGTGATTGACTGCATTTTAATTCTTTTTTGGCTATTTGTAAACCTTTGAAATGATCTTTTTTAGTGTGAAGTGCCATTGTTTGCATGACTAGCAAAAATAAGAAGGGAGCCAATATTAAATCTAGGAGTGGTGCCAAATGGTAGTTTAACAGAACTATTACAACCTTTATAAATCGTCTGGATCGGACGTTTAAAATAACTTCCAAAGCCAAAAAAGTCTAAAGTATTAAATAAAAAACTATGCTTCACAGTCGAAGGCCTGATAAAAGTCTAAAAACAAAATATAACTATTTTCATTAATAAACTGGTTGTAATCAACTAAGTCTAAAATTAGACGAATATTATTACTTATATGCCTTCCACACATAAAACCAGATTGACAAACATCAACGACTGTATTGAGGCGTAAACGCAATCTCTGAGCAAATATTAGAGCAAGTCATTTGGCATCATTGTTTATTAAGGTTACAGGCCTCCAGTTTTCAATCATCAATAAGTCTTTATCTGGCTTAGGTATTAAGGAAACTAGCCCTTGAGACAAGGTTGGCGGTAGCTTCCCAACTTCAATTGCTTCCTTAAATACAAATAAAATAAATTCTGCAAGGTTATCTTGAAAAACCTTATAGAACTCACTTGTTAGTCCATCATTTCCAGGGGATTTATTATCTTTTCACTTAACGATAGTACTTTTTATTTCTTCTAAAGTTACATTCTGGTCACACATCTTCTTGGATTCCTCGTCAATCGATTTTGCACTATCCCTTACGGAAGAGAAGAAAGACGTATCGTTGTTATTACTCCCTTCAGTATATCATCTTTTATAAAAGGTTGTAACAAAATCAGAGATTTTCTTTGCATTTTCTGACACTTGTCCATTAATATTAAGTTTATTCAAAGAGGAAAGACCTGCATTTCTTTTTTTGCAAGTTGAAAAAATGTTTTGGATGTTTTTCTCCTTCTTCCAAACAATTCCTTCTAGATCTTACAAATGCTCGTAAATTTGGTCTAAATCGAAGTATCCTTATCTCTTTTCCATTTCTTTGGTTGGGAAATCTTCTTTTATACGTTTGGCCTGTGCTATGTCCTTTCCTCTCAGGATAGCCAGTCTTCTAATTTTATATTTCATATATTCCCAGTGGGTGCCATAGGATTTCAGTGTTTTAGCCTTAATCCAACATTCATTAATAATTAATTTAGCAGCGTCCATAAACTGTTTCTCTCTTTTAAAATGTTAGTGTTTGATTTCCAATAACTGACATTAGGTTTCTTTCCTTCGGTTGTGTTATTAAGACTTATAAATTTGTGGTCAGTGAGAACAGAGGGCTCAATATAAACATCCATAATCTGTTTTTCTAATTCTCTAGATATTAACCAGAAATCTATTCCAGACTGTTTAGTCATATCTTTGGTGTGCCACAGAAAATATACACTGCTCAAAAAAATAAAGGGAACACTTAAACAACACAATGTAACTCCAAGTCAATCCTGTGAAATCAAGCTGTCCACTTAGGAAGCAACACTGACTGACAATCACTTTCACACGCTGTTGTGCAAATGGAAAAGACAACAGGTGGAAATTATAGGCAATTAGCAAGACCCCCCCAATAAAGGAGAGGCTCTGCAGGTGGTGACCACAGACCACTTCTCAGTTCCTATGCTTCCTGGCTGATGTTTTGGCGGTGCTTTCACTCTAGTGGTAGCATGAGACGGAGTCTACAACCCACACAAGTGGCTCAGGTAGTGCAGCTCATCCAGGATGGCACATCAATGCGAGCTGTGGCAAGAAGGTTTGCTGTGTCTGTCAGCGTAGCGTCCAGAGCACGGAGGCGCTACCAGGAGACAGGCCAGAACATCAGGAGACGTGGAGAACGTTCTGCTGCCTGCAAGATCCTCCAGCATGACCGGTTTGGCGGTGGGTCAGTGATGGTGTGGGGTGGCATTTCTTTGGGGGGCCGCACAGCCCTCCATGTGCTCGCCAGAGGTAGCCTGACTGCCATTAGGTACCGAGATGAGATCCTCAGACCCCTTGTGAGACCATATGCAGGTGTGGTCGGCCCTGGGTTCCTCCTAATGCAAGACAATGCTAGACCTCATGGGGCTGGAGTTTGTCTATGGACCGGCCCGCCAGTTCCCCAGACCTGAATCCAACTGAGCACATCTGGGACATCATGTCTCGCTCCATCCACCAACGCCATGTTGCACCACAGACTGTCCAGGAGTTGGCGGATGCTTTAGTCCAGGTCTGGGAGGAGATCCCTCAGGAGACCATCCGCCACCTCATCAGGAGCCCAGGCGTTGTAGGGAGGTCATACAGGCACGTGGAGGCCACACACACTACTGAGCCTCATTCTGACTTGTTTTAAGGACATTACAGTGCCTTGCGAAAGTATTTGGTCCCCTTGAACTTTTCGACCTTTTGCCACATTTCAGGCTTCAAACATAAAGATAGAAAACTGTAATTTTTTGTGAAGAATCAACAACAAGTGGGACACAATTATGAAGTGGAACGAAATTTATTGGATATTTCAAACCTTTTTAACAAATAAAAAACTGAAAAATTGGGCGTGCAAAATTATTCAGCCCCTTTACTTTCAGTGCAGCAAACTCTCTCCAGAAGTTCAGTGAGGATCTCTGAATGATCCAATGTTGACCTAAATGACTAATGATGATAAATAGAATCCACCTGTGTCAAATCAAGTCTCCGTATAAATGCACCTGCTCTGTGATCGTCTGAGGTCCGTTTAAAGCGCAGAGAGCATCATGAAGAACAAGGAACACGCCAGGCAGGTCCGAGATACTGTTGTGGAGAAGTTTAAAGCCGGATTTGGATACAAAAAGATTTCCCAAGCTTTAAACATCCCAAGGAGCACTGTGCAAGTGATAATATTGAAATGGAAGGAGTATCAGACCACTGCAAGTCTACGAAGACCCGGCTGTCCCTCTAAACTTTCAGCTCATACAAGGAGAAGACTGATCAGAGATGCAGCCAAGAGGCCCATGATCACTCTGGATGAACTGCAGAGATCTACAGCTGAGGTGGGAGACTCAACAATCAGTCGTATACTGCACAAATCTGGCCTTTATGGAAGAGTGGCAAGAAGAAATCCATTTCTTAAAGATATCCATAAAAAGTCTCGTTTAAAGTTTGCCACAAGCCTCCTGGGAGACACACCAAACATGTGGAAGAAGGTGCTCTGGTCAGATGAAACCAAAATCGAACATTTTGGCAACAATGCAAAACGTTATGTTTGGCGTAAAAGCAACACAGCTCATCACCCTGAACACACCATCCCCACTGTCAAACATGGCGGTGGCAGCATCACGGTCTGGGCCTGCTTTTCTTCAGCAGGGACAGGGAAGATGGTTAAAATTGATGGGAAGATGGATGGAGCCAAATACAGGTCCATTCTGGAAGAAAACCTGATGGAGTCTGCAAAAGACCTGAGACTGGGACGGAGATTTGTCTTCCAACAAGACAATGATCCAAAACATAAAGCAAAATCTACACTGGAATGGTTCACAAATAAACATCTCCAGGTGTTAGAACGGCCAAGTCAAAGTCCAGACCTGAATCCAATCCAGAATCTGTGGACAGAACTGAAAACTGCTGTTCACAAACACAAAAGTTTGAAATATCCAATAAATTTCGTTCCACTTCATAATTGTGTCCCACTTGTTGATTCTTCACAAAAAATTACAGTTTTCTATCTTTATGTTTGAAGCCTGCAATGTGGCAAAAGGTCGAAAAGTTCAAGGGGGCCGAATACTTTCGCAAGGTGCTGTACATCAAAGTTGGATCGGCCTGTAGTCTGGTTTTCTACTTTGATTTTGAGTGTGACTCCAAATCCAGACCTCCATGGGTTGATACATTTGATTTCCATTGATCATTTTTGTGTGATTTTGTTGTCAGCACATTCAACTACGTAAAGAAGGAGTATTTAATGAGATTATTTCATTCAGATCTAGGATGTGTTATTTTAGTGTTCTTTTTCTGAGCAGTGTATTTTGTCAGGGTTCCTATACCTCCATATATCAAAACAATTTAGACTTGAGCACAAGTGGTCAAACGCTGCAGTGTTATTCACTCTTGTTGGTTGTGGAGGACGACACTCCAATAGTGGGTCTTTAATGGAAATCCAATCTCCTCCCAGAATTCATTTTGCCTTAGGAAAGGATCTCAGGAACGTAGAGATTTCCTCTTCAAACTCTTGGAAAAGACTTCTATTCCTAGAGCTAATATTTGTGGCAGAAATACGACCTAAAATGAAGAGAATATCACTGAGCTCTACAACTAACAATAAGCATGTGCCAAAAAGATGAGCTTCAGGATTCAGGATTCTACCCTTAAAGTTTCCTTTCATTATAGCAACACCTACAGACTTATTGCTGCCATAAGACATCCAAATATTACCTCCCCATTGGTTCTTCCAGAAATTATAATCAGAATTTGAAGCATGTGTTTCTTGTATAAAATAAAAATCAGCTTTAAATTTCTTACAAACTAAAAAAACAGACACTGAATGAACATATTGATAAAGACATATCTAGTGGGAAAGAGAAGATTCCATAACTACAGCTGACCGTATTCCTGCTGCTCCAGAGCGACGGTTTAGTACTCGATGTTCAGCTTGATGAGGTCGCACTCATTGTTCTGCGACATCTTTAGGACCGCAGCTCTTTCCCATCAATTAAAGAAAGCTTTTCCTTCTTTGCATGCCGCCTCAGTTTGGGGCCTCAGTTTGGGGCCACAACTTGTTGCGCGTTTCTTTGTCTTTTGTCGTCAGATCTTCACCAAACCGCAACTGCGAACTGTTCAGCTGTGAACACCCTCACACGTTCTTTAGCCAAGTTCCACTTGATATCTAGGAACAACTGCAGACCCTGACCCGCCTGGACCCGCCTGGACCCGCCTGGACCCTGTCCTTACACCTGCTGTCCCCTCAGCTGTGATGCGTCCTGGTTACATCAGCAGACTCATTATTGTGTTTGATCTGAAGTAATTCCAAATCTACACTACTACTACTGTTTTCTAATTCCCTCATAGGACTCCTCCTCTGCTCCTCCTCCTCCTGCTGCTGCTGCTGCTGCTCCTCCTCCTGCTGCTGCTGCTGCTGCCTCCTGCTCCTCCTCTGCTGCTGCTCCTCCCCTCCTCCTCCTCCTCCTCCTCCTCCTCCTCCTCCTCCTCCTCCTCCTCCTCCTCCTCCTCCTCCTCCTCCGCTGCTGCTCCTCCCCTGCTCCTCCTCCTCCTCCTCCTCCTCCTCCTCCTCCTCCTGCTACAGGTTCAGCAGACTGGTTTTACTCTCCACAGGGTTCAGGTCTGATGAATGTTACATGTTTTCTTGTTGACGCACATAGGTGTCACATTTCCACTGGGGCCCCTGGGAGGCCCTGGGGCCCCTGGGGGCCCCTGGAGGGCCCTGGGAGCCCCTGGGAGCCCCTGGGAGGCCCTGAGAGGCCCTGGGAGCCCTGTACCCACCACTTTCTGAAAGCGTTTGTTAAAAATGAAAACCAGCACCAAGTGAGGAAATAAAAGTTTAGACAGAAAGAAAACATGAATTTAAATTTAGTCTGAGCTGAAAACAGAAGCTACAGCAGGACTGGACCCTGACCCAGCAGGAGGACCAGAATCCTCATCTAAAGATTCACTTCAGAATATTAAGAGTTTAAAACCTTCAGGAGCCATTAGACCCTGTCTTAGACCCTGTCTCAGACCCTGATCTCAGACCTGATGTGACGCCTTATGAGGGTCAACCTGCTGCAGACGTTGGTGCTGGTTCAGATAGAAACGGGTCAGAACACACAGCTAGGGGATCCATGCTGACCCCAATCCTCACTGGGCTCATGAGCATCAGACCTGGACCACGGAGCAGGAGGCGGCCTGGAAACCTGGAACACACGGCACCAGGATGTAGGATGGGAAAAAGCCGAGGCAGCTTTGGACCATGTTCTGCTGGGAATCCACGGGTCATGCCGTTCATGTGGATGTTACTTTGACACGTAGCACCTACCTGAGCACTAATGCGCACCCTGTAGACCAGGTAGACCCTGTAGACCAGGTACACCCTGTACACCCTGTAGACCAGGTACACCCTGTACACCCTGTAGACCAGGTAGACCCTGTAGACCAGGTACACCCTGTACACCCTGTAGACCAGGTACACCCTGTACACCCTGTAGACCAAGTAGACCAGGTAGACCAGGTAGACCCTGTACACCCTGTAGACCCTGTAGACCAGGAAGACCAGGTACACCCTGTAGACCAGGTAGCCCCTGTTCACCCTGTGGACCAGGTACACCCTGTAGACCCTGTAGACCCGGTAGACCAGGTACACCCTGTAGACCCTGTAGACCAGGTAGACCCGGTACACCCTGCAGACCCTTTGATACAGACAGGGTTCCCTGAGGGCCTCTTTCAGCAGGATAATACTCCACAAAGCAAACAGGGTTCAGGATCAACGAGGTCAAGGTGTTGACCTGGCCTCCAGAGTCCACAGATCTCAGTCCAGTCCAGCATCTGTGGGTTGTGCTGGACCAACAAGTCCGATCCACGGAGGCCCCACCTCACAGCTTCCAGGACTTGAAAGGATCTGCTGCTTCTCTTGGTCCCAGATCCCACAGCACACCTTCAGGGGTCTACTGGGGTCCAGGTCTACGGGGTCAGGATTGCTCTAACCTTCCCAGTATCAGGCAGGTGGTCATAATGTTGTGGCTGATCAGTGCCGGCCCACAAGGTCCCGCTTCCCTTTGAGCTGACTCACCTGTCCTACAGGTGGTCAGCACTGAACCAGACCACCACAGCGTTAATAAATACTTTTTATTGATCAGCTGGACAGAAGGTGATTGACAGCATGCTGAACGGAGCTAAGGCACATGAAGCTGTGAGGTCAGAGGTCAGCTGGTTCAAACCGGCTTCCTTTGACACCCGTTATAAAAACACACCTGAGCAGGTGAGACGCCACGTCAAAGGTAAAAACAAGATCATTTAGTCCATTCAGGAGGCAGCGCACCTGGGCCCAAACACTGCTGACGGGTCACCTGGTCTTCACCTGTCGGGAGGTCAGAAGTCACAGCAGGAGGAGGCCGGGGGTCACCCGCTGGTATCAGCTCTTGGACTGTTTCTTCTTCTGAACCAGCTCCGCCAGCATCTTGTAGCGGATCATACACTCCTCCTGGAACACACAGGTCAGCAACACGTTAGAACCGGGTCAGCGAATCTGCTCTTTAGGACCAGGATCAGGTACCAGCTGGATCAATAGAGGATCAGTTAAACTAATGAAGGAACTGATCACCAGCTGTTATTAAAGGTCGACCTGGGCTGCTGGACTCTCAGGGTCTCAGTCCTCACCTTGGTCTTTCCGGGGACCACCTTGGCGATGCGGTCCCAGCGTTCTGCAGTTCCTCGGGGGAACTGTTGCAGAGCGAGTTCCAGCAGTTTCTGTTGGCTCTGAGTCCAGACGACGGGGTCCGCCTTCTCCCTATTCTCCTGAGGCTCCGCCCCTTCCTCCTCCACCGCCGTCGGGTCGAAATCCCTCTGCCGACGACCTCTGACCTTGGCCTCCCCCCCGTCTGCTGCCGCTGGCTTCCTGTTCCTTCTCCTCACCGCCGCCTCTTCCTCTTCGTCTTCCTGCTCCTTGTCGCAGGCGCCGCCCCCTCTCGGAGTCATCACACTGTCAGCGACAGGAAATGACCTCACAGGAAGAAGCGGTCCCTTCAGCTCCGACAGCTTCACCAGACCTGAAACACAGACAGCGCCGGCGGTAACGAAACCTGGCAGCAGAACCTCAGCAGATCCTGACGGAGACAGCAGCAGCTCAGCAGACTTTACCTGAGGTGTGGCTCACGTGCTCCTTCACCTGTTTGACTTTAGAGGTCACCTGTCGGAGGAAACACATGATGTCATCAGTCACATGACTCTCAGAGGGATGACTCAACGTTTCACAGCATCACAGGAAACTGAGTTCTCTGCTCGGCGTTCAGTTAAGAAATATTATTGACCGCAATTTGTCCTGTAGGACTTTTGGCTTTCAAATATTCAACATGACAATAACAAAGTCTGACGAGTTCTGCTGAAGAACGTCATCTTATCTTAAAGAGCTCATAGTACCTTACTACCCCACCAGAGCACTGCGCTCCCAGAATGCAGGGTTACTTGTGGTTCCTAGAGTCTCCAAAAGTAGACTAGGAGCCAGAGCGTTCAGCTATCAAGCTCCTCTCCTGTGGAACCAGGTTCCAGTTTGGGTTCAGGAGGCAGACACCATCTCCACATTTAAGAGTAGGCTTAAGACTTTCCTCTTTGATAAAGCTTATAGTTAGGGCTGGCTCAGGTGAGTCCTGAACCATCCCTTAGTTATGCTGCTATAGGCCTAGACTGCCGGGGGATTTCCCATGATGCACTGAGCTCCCCTCTCCTCTACTTTCTCTCCCTCTGTATGCAACCTCATCCCATTATTGCATGTTACTAACACAACTTCTCCCCTTTCTGGTAGTCTTGTGCTTTCTCGTCCCTCTCCTCTCTCCTCCTGTCACTTCCTGCAGGTGTTTCTGGCTCTGGAGCTTTGGGGTCTGGGGTCTGTGGGGCCTGAGATCTTTGGGGTCTGTGCAGTAAATATCTATTCCACCTTTACTGACTGTACTTCTGTGTTGGCAGCAAAAAAGCCATCAGCTGGCCTGCTGGATTCTGATTCTGTCCCCATCCCACCAACACAATAATACTTGTGACACCTCCAGGAAGCTAAGCCACCCCAGGCTGTGGATCTGTCCTAACATACAGGAAGACGAAGCTGATCCCTTCTGTCTCAGACTAAACTTTGATCCAGCATCATTCAGACTTTCCTGGTTTTAAACCAGTTCAAGCAGGCTTACGTCGGCCACTGATCGTCCCAGTTCCTGAGCGATCTTCTCCCAGCGACCCGGAGCTCCTCCAGGAAATTTAACCATCAGCCTGCTGAGGAGGCTGAGCTCGTCCTCCGTCCAGTCTGCAGCCTGAGGATAGAGAGACACAGAGACTCATCATCCAGGTATCTGCCACACCGGCAGTCCAGTCTGCAGCCTGAGGACCCTGATCACAGTAAGAACTGATCAATAACCGCAGACCTTCTTCTTTGCAGCTCTGCGGTCCTGCAGCCAGTCATCCATCTGGTCTTCGATGTCCTCTATGGATGTGGTCTGGTCATAACTCTGGTAGTTGAGGTCCTCTAGTGACGGTTCGTAAACAGGAAACTCCACCTTCGGCTTTTTAACCTTCGGCCTCTTCTCTCCTAAAGACAGAGGACAGGAAGTGAAGCCTAACATGGTCAGGTGACTGAACGCCCCCCCATAAGTACAGAAGTCTGAACTTTACAGTACCGAAGTCTGAACTTTAAACAACAGAAGTCTGAACTTTACAGTACAGAAGTCTGAACTTTACAGTACTTTACAGGACAGAAGTCTGAACTTTACAGTACAGAAGTCTGAACTTTACAGTACAGAAGTCTGAACTTTACAGTACTTTACAGGACAGAAGTCTGAACTTTACAGTACAGAAGTCTGAACTTTAAACGACAGAAGTCTGAACTTTACAGTACAGAAGTTTGAGCTTTACAGTGCAGAAGTCTGAACTTTACAGTACAGAAGTCTGAACTTTACAGTACAGAAGTTTGAGCTTTACAGTGCAGAAGTCTGAACTTTAAGTCTGAACTTTAAACGACAGAAGTCTGAACTTTAAACGACAGAAGTTTGAACTTTAAACGACAGAAGTCTGAACTTTACAGTACTTTACAGGACAGAAGTCTGAACTTTACAGTACTTTACAGGACAGAAGTCTGAACTTTACAGTACAGAAGTCTGAACTTTACAGTACAGAAGTTTGAACTTTAAAGTACAGAAGTCTGAACTTTACAGTACAGAAGTTTGAACTTTAAATGACAGAAGTTTGAACTTTAAACGACAGAAGTCTGAACTTTACAGTACTTTACAGGACAGAAGTCTGAACTTTACAGGACAGAAGTTTGAACTTTACAGTACTTTACAGGACAGAAGTTTGAACTTTACAGTACTTTACAGTACTTTACAGGACAGAAGTTTGAACTTTACAGTACTTTACAGGACAGAAGTTTGAACTTTAAACGACAGAAGTCTGAACTTTACAGTACAGAAGTTTGAGCTTTACAGTACAGAAGTCTGAACTTTACAGTACTTTACAGGACAGAAGTCTGAACTTTACAGTACTTTACAGGACAGAAGTCTGAACTTTACAGTACTTTACAGTACAGAAGTCTGAACTTTACAGTACTTTACAGTACAGAAGTCTGAACTTTACAGTACTTTACAGTACAGAAGTTTGAACTTTAAACGACACAAGTCTGAACTTTACAGTACAGAAGTCTGAACTTTAAACGACAGAAGTTTGAACTTTATAGTGCAGAAGTCCGAACTTGGTGATCTCAGTATTGAGAAACTGTCAGGGGCGAGTTCACATTGAATGACATGTTTCGAGGTATGTTTTCTCCCGTGTGGTGGGCGTGTCACAGGTGTTACCAAATCAGCTGCAACAGGTTTGTAACCACAGCAGTGTTAAAAAGGCAGGAAAATGCAGCGCATGTGTGTTCACAACATGTGTGTTTCTGCTGGAAAAAAATGTTTTGCTACATTTTGTGGTGACAGAAATCAGTAAACACTGACAGTGATTGATTATTGATCTGTATGTTTGCAGTAAACACTGACAGTGATTATTGATTATTGATCTGTATGTTTGCAGTAAACACAGACAGTGATTATTGATTATTGATCTGTATGTTTGCAGTATAAAGAGCTGGAACAAAGGAGGGAAAGTGTGTTTACTGGGCGCAGCTTCCTTTTCAGCTTCAGCTTCTTCTCTCTGCTGCTGCTGCTTCATCTGCTGGTAGTCCTCATAGTACTGCTTCACCTCCTGAAACACACAGAGACCAGAGCTAAGACCAGGACAAGGACCAGAGACCAAGCCTGACCTGGTTCACCTCCTACCTGGATGGTCTCCGGCAAGCTTTTGATGGACAGGTAAAGCCAGATGCTCAGCTTCAGAGGGAGGATGTCCTGCCAGTGAGGTCGGTCCTGAATTCTGAAAACAACAAACAAACGATAACAGACACAAACAAACCAAGACAACAGGAAGTCCAGGGATGATGTCACGGCTGTACCTGTCGGTCCGGTCCTGGCCGATACACCTGAGGTCATCTGGAGGTCTGGAGCTCAGCTTCTTCTTCTTCTCTTTCTTCTTCTTACTCAGCAGCTCGTCCTGGACACGGGGAGGATTCATGGTCAGATCACATGACCAAGTCTGCTTAGACTGGCTGTCTGAGTATCTGCTGTGTTCTGATTGGCTGTCTCACCAGCTGTTTCTCCAGGTAAATGGACCAGATGACAGCATAGTGGCCCACAGTGAGGATAAGGAAGAGGAGGAAGGCCAGCTCAGCGTTACTCATCTTCCTCACTCGTCTGTAGTAGAAAACTGGCTGCCGCCAATCAGGAAGGCCGTTCACCAGGATGTCATCATACCTGCGCACGCACGCACACACATTAGAGATTTTATATATATATAATCATAAACATATTAGAAAGAGAGTGTTTCCCACAGAATGACAGTGTGGTGGAAAGGGGGAACAACCCAGCTGAACTCTGTGTGTTAACAGCTCTCATTATTAACTAGGCTCCGTAAAGGCTGAGAGACAGAGGGACGAGTGTCAGGAACCGGCTGCAGGGACAGAGAGACTGGCTGCAGAGACAGAGGGACGAGCGTCAGGAACCAGCTGCAGGGACAGAGGGACTGGCTGCAGGGACAGAGAGACCGGCTGCAGAGACAGAGGGACCGGCTGCAGGGACAGAGAGACCGGCTGCAGGGACAGAGAGACGAGCGACAGGGATCGGCTGCAGGGACAGAGGGACACGCTGCAGAGACAGAGGGACCGGCTGCAGGGACAGAGGGACCGGCTGCAGGGACAGAGGGACCGGCTGCAGGGACAGAGGGACCGGCTGCAGAGACAGAGGGACCGGCTGCAGAGACAGAGGGACGAGCGACAGGGATCGGCTCCGGTGTAAAGGTCTGGCTCTGTCCTCTGATTGGCTGAGAGCTGGGTGTTTGTGGGGACTCACTTGTGTCGTCTCTCCTCGTCCTTCAGGACTTCGTAAATGGCCACCAGCTACAAAGGACACAAACACAGACCTGATCAATAAATGTAGTTCACAGAGCTACTGATTTATTGATTATTGATTCAAATCCTGACTGACGGTTTGTTCCCGGCGATTTCATAATTCAGTGATCAGTTTAACACCGAGAGACTACAGAGGTCCGCCTGGGGCCCCCTTCACATCCTCACCTGGGCTCTGTTCAAGTGTCACACTGACCCTGAACCTGGACCCTGAGAGTTTTGAGATCCAGAACAGCTGATCAGATTGGTGCGTGCTGTGTGCAGTGAATGAAGTGTTTCTAAATTGTAGAAGAAGAAGCGTCTCACCTGTCTGAACTGAGTTTCAGCGTTTTCATCTTTGTTCTTGTCGGGATGCAGAATCAGAGACAGACGTCGATACGCCTTCTTGATCTCCGCTGGGGACGCATCCTGAGACAGACAGAGACAAACAGGTTAACAGCTGTTTTAAGGTGAAATGTCCCCCGGCGCGGCGTCTACCAGGACACGTCTGACGTCTTCAGTCTGACTTTTATGCTGCTCACCTGTTGGACAGCTGTTCAGGTCCCTGCCTCCCAAACTTTCGCCCGTCAGAAAAAGATTCTTATCGCGTTCGGTTTTCAGCGTTTCATCTGTAGTAAGGGTTTTGAAACTTCAGAATCCAGAATGGGGTCTGGGTCTGACAAGCTGATCCACTTCGTCCCGCAGCACAAAGCACTTTATAATAAGGAACGTGCAGAATACAAAGACAGACTGTGGCAGGTGACGGCGGAACAGGAATAAATAAAGGCCGAAGCCCACGACCATCACAGCGCGTGCCCTGCGAGTCGCAGCAAATAGTGACGGGGCGCAGCGAGCTGCCTGGATCTCTGCTGCTATGTTATAATAACGCGACAGGGACAATAATATAATAATCATGAACGTA